GGTGAGCATTAAACAGCAAGCATTAAACAGCATGCATTAATGTGCAAGTAAAGTAACTCTTTTAAACTCATGTCTCAATGATGTAAGAAACACGAGGCCTACAAAGCCGTTTTGTTGATAGTTAACTGGAAATATTCAGGTTCTGGATTGCTGATTGGCCACCATAAAAGATGATGCAGATGTCACTTTGGGTTTTAAGAGATTCTCAAGGACATTTTGAAATACTGCATGGGATTTTTGCTTATTAATTATGAAGACTAATAAACCTTTTCCCCAACGAGATCTTTAAATCAGGTGTCAGTTATTTTGCTTCCTAAATGTAGTAATAATAATATGCTGATAAAATCCTGAGCCGCAGACCTTTATTACTGCATGAGTGACACTAGTCATTAGACTAAAGAGTCTATAATAAGTGGAATTAGATATCTGCATTGATTCTGTTTCTGGCTCTGCTTTTAAAATCAAGGCTGCACTGGGAGATTCTGGGACAGTTAAGAAGTAAATCCATTCCTTCATCTATTTCCTACTGCTTATCCAGGGCCAGGTTGCAAAGCAGCAATCTGAGCAGAGATGCCCAGACCCCACTCTCCTTCCACTGTCTGGCACTTTCCTCAGTTGGAGTCAGCAGCACTGCTGCAGAACCTGAGCTGTGCGTTGTGGTGAGCCCGACTAGACTGAGTCAGTATGTTTGAATCCTGTTCACTACCCCCATCTGAGAAGTGACATTCCATGCCTATAGCCAATTTTGGAAAACGGGGATCAGACCGCCAGGGTCTCTGCCCCTGACCAGAATTGACTAACTATGGCCTCTGCTGTTGATGTAGCTCTTTTGGGCCCCCATAAGCTAAGGCCCAGCCACCTGGTAGTTTCCCTCTTGTAAAATGTGACTTTGTTGTAAGTGAAAACATAATAATTTTAATAATAATAATGATACAGGTTGATATCACCAATAAAAATATCGAACCCGTTTATGTTTACGATGTGTCCATCATCCACATTTCTCTCTTTCATCGACTGATACGCTTCGCGTGTGCAGATACTGAGAGCAAGAACATTTACCTGCAAGAAAAAAAAACAGAAAACAAAATATCAGGAATCAGCACATTCTGGTTGATGCACTTGCTTGTTGCTTCTTGCACACAGGGGGTGAAAAACGGTTATAAGCAGCTTCAAAAACTATTAATGAGTCAGTTTAAGAGCTGTAGTCACTGAGAGGTTAATGCACACTGATCAGCTACAATATTAAAACCAGTGACAGATGATGACATGTTTCACTTTTTTACAGTTCAAAGTTCTGCTGGGACATTATTCCTGTGAATGTTACTTTTGATAAAACGCTACAACAAATATTATATTTCTACAATAACTCTGAGCTCTTACATCCATCATGTTCTTCCAGCCACTGGTTTTGCCGTTTAGCAACAATTCTGGATGAGCCAAGCCAGCATTGTTGATGCACACGTCCACACCTTTGTGCTGCTCTTTGATCGCTGCAAACATGGCCAGAATCTCCTCCTCTTTGGTCAAATCGCACTTGAAAGGAAACAAAACACCAGGGTGACCGGCGCTCTGACACTCTGCTGCCAGTTTCTGAAACCAGAATAGAAAAAGATGACAGACTTTAGAATCCATTATGTGTTTTTAAAGTGTACGAATCTACTGGAAAGCATCCATGAAATACATGAAAAACTACTTTGTGAAAAATAACTTTAATTTGTCTGCGAACTTCACTATCTGCTCCCTCATTCTTCCTGTTCTTCTGAATTCTCTCTGTCCTCTGTACAATGGACTGTAATGTCTGTACAGTATGATTGTCTATACAAACATACTGAACAATACAATAATTATAGTTTTACAACTGTTTATTAATACTTGCAACTGTATATCTACAATCTGTATAGTTTTCAAATTTCTGTATAGTTTTGTTATTTTTTCACCCTATGTATAACCTGTTCATAGCCTGTACACTCACTAAAGTTGTAGCCTGTACATACTTACAGTTATAGTATATTAATAACATACCTTCATACTGTGCACATTGTAATATACCTATAATAGATCCATATTCTGTAATATATCTATATTATTGCTAAAGCACTTTCTCGATAGATGCAAACTGCATTTTGTTGCCTTGTACTTGTGACATGTGCAATGACAATAAAGTGTAATTCTACTCCATTCCATTCCATTCTCTCTTTCTCCATCCTCCTCACTCAACTAGAAACTAACAAAAATATAAATCTTATAATAATTATTACAAGAGCAACAAGAGGATCCACAATCTATAACAGGACAACACACTGATTAAACGTGTGAGTAAAACAGAAGCTACAACTTTATAATTTTTGATGAATTTAATTGTTACAACGATTAAAAGACTGATCCATAAGAATTTATAACAATATTTAAACTGAATGCAGGCTGTTGCTAGATGCTGACAGGTTACATCATTATGACCTGCTGTCACCTGGAGCTGGAGCTGTACTGTACACAAACACTGAAGCCCAATTTGACCAGAACAGGAACAGAAATCTTTAACAAACTAAAATAATAAAGTACATCAGCTTCTTAACTTGTGATATCCCAGCAGACTAGTGGATCGGAAGGGTAAAGTTAGCTAATAATCTCTAGTGATTGACACTACATTAGCTAATGTTTTTAACCCTATTTACAGAACATATAAAAACTGTATACTTTGCTTTGACACTTTATAAGCCAAAGCAATTCCTGCATTATCAGAACAGTTTGAATTTTTTACTGAATTTTTACCAGTTGAATTGTGTTTTAAATCTGCATCACTAATTTGTGAAACTACCTTCTTATCTTCTTTCTGCCGCAGCAACTAAAGTCTGTAACAGAGAGGCTGTAACATCATGACATTAGCAACACTGGACATAAAACCTGTTTTCATTCTTTCCTGTACTGTCGTCAATAGAAAAGTTTGAAGTTAAATAGAAGTTACATAGGAAAATAACATTTAAAAATAATTCCAGAAAATAATATTAATATACGCTCTCGTTAATACTATTTATTGTTATTTTTAGGGGTGCTCTGATAAAATCTCAGACCCCAAAAAGGGTCTTATCTCGCTCTTATCATTTTCTCTCAGCTCCACCTTTTCGCCACTTGTTCCACACTGAACTTTTTCTACAAGCTGCATGAGCCCACAGCAAAAGGTAGCGGAGCAATTTGATTTGTGTCAGTATTTAAAACGAACCAATGGGTTGCTGTCAGTGCTTGTACGCCGGTGCGCAGCGGCCCTTCTGGCCGGTCCATCTCTCCAAAAGTGTGTCGGCCAACCGGGAAAATACCAGATTACCAGTCCAGCCCTGCTATAGCTGCACTTTGTTAAGATTGTTGATTGTGGCTAATCTTTGACAACAGCATTATGTTTCAAAGTTCAACAACCAACAGTGCATATCATCTACATACAGTATGCTGACGGATTGTGTGCCAACTTAAAGAATCATTAACCACAGAGTTGTAAATTTCAAGAAAGCAAAGGGCACAAAAGAGGATTTTCACCGTTATGTTTAAAATTTCAATATTTATATCTAGCTTCTTGTAAAACCTCAGTAGATGTAACTCCAGAGTAGTTTAACTTTTAATTAAACAAACAGACGAAGAAAAACACGTTTTCACTGTTTAATAGTAACTTTACCATAAAAAAATTTCGCTTTACATTAAATTACTCCCTGCAGAAATTACGTTTTCACTTTAGAGCATACCTGGATTTTTGCGACGTCCCTGGCGCAGCCCACCACATTCATACCGAGCCGGACCAGCTCTAGGGCTACAGCCGCCCCAATCCCCACCGACGCTCCGGTAACCAGAGCCACTCTGCCCCGCCAGCGCTCCATCACAGTCCGGACACCGGTAGCTTGCTACATGCACGAAAGCGCTACAAACATCAAGAGAGGGACGCCAAAACTTCAACTTCCATGTACTTGCGGAACATAAACGTCGCACACTCTGTACGTCGTACGTCTCTGCCGAATTCACGCAAATCGTCGGTTCTTCTTTTACATTTTATTGGCGGTTGGCAATATGGTGCTTTACTGCCACCAACTGGTATGGAGTGTGGACTGGAACGTTGCTCAAAAAAACAAGCAAGCAAAAAAAAAAAAAAAAAACCCCAAAAAACACACCAACAACAACAAAACCCCTCAAATCCTTCCAAACAAATTAACCTCTTTAAAAACTGGAATAAGGCCTGATAACTTTCACTTCTTGAGTCCTTTTGCAGTAAATCAATACGATCTAGTTTTATCTCGTATTACTGAGGTTTTGGTTCAGTTGTCTTCTCTCCACCTGATACTTCTGACAGTGTTCTATAGTTTCCTCTTCTCCACAGTAGTCACATTTCCCTGCACTCTAAAAAATATTTTGTTGCCTCAACTTAAAAAATTAAGGCAACAATTTCCACTCAGCTTTTGAAGTTACAAATTTTGCACATTATTAAGTAAATTCAGCAAGTAATTTTTACGTTTGGCTAACTCAACTTGTTTAACAAACCAACATGATTTACCTTGACCTCCAAAAGCATAATTAAGTTTATGCAACCTAATATTAAGTTAAAATTTCTGGTAAAAATAAGTTGAGAAATTACATTAGTTGAGTCACACCAACTAACTTTTTTACATATATCCTACTCACAATTATCTATGCCAATTAGTTTAGGTTTCTATAGTAACTTTTCTAAAATCACACAAAGCCATTTCACTTATTCCAATTGATTATTTTATTACAAAGCATTTTCAAAGTAATACACTTCTGTGTAAATACAACATAAATGAAACAATATAGCAGCCCTTTAATTATAAATGACTAAGCAAAAAAAAAAAAGTACTTCATGTACATTAACATTAACTTAAATTGGTATCAACTTGTTCAACTTGTTGCAGAATCAAGGAAATGACAAAAGATTTTAATGTTCAACAACGGAACAATCCAAAGGTAAGATTATATGTATTACAAACTTTTCTCAAAACTACACTCATCTAGGACTGCATACAAAAACATAAGAGTCAAACAGTCCAATTCACATTCGTTTCACGACAGAAGTTTGCACTTAAGAGACATTACCCGTGGACTGGCTTTAAGCCCATCAAGTTCCATAAATACCTTCTGGAATACCTCTAGAGTGTTCTTTACTTGTTTTGGGTAACTCAGATTGAGAGCGTATATAAGCCCCATCATTAAGGCACATGCTCTGGGCACATCAAGGTCTTCAAGGACTGCTGTTCCTTCAATCACAATTTTAGTGCACGTCTGGTGACTACAATCTTTACCACTTCTTCTGGGAACTGTTGTTCACCATTCTGGCAAGTAGGTAGTTTAAATGGAAACATGTTAGCATTTTATGTGCCATTTAAAAATAAAACAAAAGAATGTGAGATTCACCTACCAGCTGTTCTCTGAAGAGATCCTCTTCCTTCTCTTTCAGATACACCTTCAGGCAATGGATTGCGACCTCTTGCTTCATTTCCACGGAACTCTGGAGAATAAAAAAAGTAAAATAAAACATAAACTTACAGTTTATTAGGTGAAAAGTCAAAACTGTTACATTTATGTGACTTGCGTTGTGCCAAATATTGATTTTAAATATGTTTTTAAAATAATTAAAGATTTAATCTTTGTAACTTACCATTGAGGGTTGTAGAGGCAAATCCTACAGATCAGCTGACCGTCACATGCTTGCATAAGAGGACTTTCTCTGGATGGTTCTGGACATGCAACATATTTCCAAATTAGACCTCAATCACTCAATCATTTAAAATGTGCTCTTAGAAGAAGAATATTCACATACAGTATGGACATCTACATATCTTGCAAACAGTGGGAGTGATGTAAAAGTGCAGATTTTTATGCTACAGCTCAAGTTCCCAGGACTTTTTGGAAGCCATCCAAATATTCAAAGGAGCTTTCAGATGCAGTCCACAGTTGAAATGGGAAGAGCGACTAACACAGTTGGATGTGTGATAAAGCCATTTCTCACAGCGGGGGAAGAAAAAGTAGCAGTAAAAAATATATTTTAAAGACGTTGGCATTATACATAAAAATGTACCCTCACGAATATTTCTGATTAGTGAATGCAACCGACTCCATAAGCTCTTCTTGATACTAGACACTTTGCAGTTCTTTCAGACTTTCCCAAGGGGTCAAATATATATTTCAAGGGTTGTGGGTAACATGTGCAGCAGGGTCTCACAGAAGAAAGCTCACATTTTGTGACAGAAAAGATCTTTGTTTTGTTTTTTTGCAGTCTTGCGAATTCTTGGATAATTTCCTCCATGTAGGCCTCCAAAATTATTAAAAATTTCGAGCATAAACATTGTGTAGAAATAAAGATATTCATGAAAACTTGATGTTTTTTATGATTTTTTCTTTCTTTCATATTTTAGTTATATTTACATGTTTGAAAAAATATATAACGAATAAAACAGTCACACATTAAATACACAAACTGAGAGATAACCTTGTCTTCACTGTTAGTACATCCATCACATCTCCTTTTTCAGTATTTGCTGTTTTTCATATTTTGTCTTTTAACTTTTAACACTACAATCCCATTTAAAATAAACTCACCGATTAAATCTTCTTGCTGTTTGATATCATGCAGCTAGTGCAGCGGTCCCCAACCCCCGGGCCTCGGACCGGTACCGGTCCGTGAGTCGTTTGGTACCGGGCCGCGAGAGTTGAGGCTCAGGTGTGAAATGTATAGTTTTCAGGGTTTTTATCGGTTTTCAGCGTTATTTTGTTATCGTTTTTATCGTTTACTCGGTTTTCCTTGGTCTTTTCAAGTGTGTTATGAATAAATGTTCTTTTTTTCGGTACTGGTACTAGTTTTATTTTGTTGTATTTATCCGCAACACCTTAAAGGGTAGTCCATGAAAATATTGTCGGGCATAAACCGGTCCGTGGCGCAAAAAAGGTTGGGGACCACTGAGCTAGTGTACAGTCACAGAGCAGTGAAAGTGAACCAGAACAATACATGCACTGTCCTTGCATGCAAACAAAGAACTGAACCTCACCGTAAATCTGTAATTGTACAATGAAAAGACCGAAAAAAGAAAGATTTGCTGCCCACAGCGCGGGTCATGTGTTGACCTCTGGTTACTATTGTGGCGATGGCTTTGAATAGCCAGGGAGGCGGTCAAGCAGAAAATCAAACGAACAATGTATGGTTTGGGGGAAGACATGATAATGAAAGAACATCGTGTTCTGTGGATTTGTTTGGCTGAAGAAGCCAATAATCCACTGTGTTCACACATGTGGAGGATTGACAGAAAATGACCTGGCTCACATTGCTGATGGAAGAAGAACTCCGGCCTATTTCTCAAAGAAGCTGGCACTCTGATACAGACATTGTATTCATTTGTGGTTACTCTGCATTGTTCTGTGTATCTTTTTGGTAATACGCCTCTATAGTTGCTTTGTGTCTGCTTATTGTGTTAAGTCTCCATGTGGTTATTTTGGGTCTCTTTGTTTTGTGTTTCTCTGTATTGACTTGCTGACAGTCCGTTCATGCACAGCAGAGTGAAGTGCCAAACATTGGGACAACTTCCTGACTTACACTTTGTGTTTAGGTGCAAGGACCTGCAGCTGCATTTGTGCATACATACAAATGTATGTCCAGTGTAACTGAATATATATACACTGACATGAGAAAGGTGGTGGACTGAGGCGGGAGTCCTTAGCTAACCTTTGCTTTCCTCTGGACTGAGAGTCCTTCTGGCAGCTCTCCATGGACTGAAGTACAGATTTAGATTAAAGCAGGCTTGCCTTTCATCAGAAAATCTTCCACGCTGTGTTATTCAGTAAAGCTTAATCCTACATCCTATGGAAGCCCCAAACGCAATTTCATTGTTCTTGACAATGACAATAAATAAATAAATACTAAATGTTGACATTTTAACACACAGGTCAAAAATCTTTTGTCTGGTAGTTTGTCCTTTATTTTTTTATAAACTTACATACTCAGAGACCAAGAGAGCATTCTCAGCATTAATTTAATCTAGTTTATTTTAATCTGACAGATTCTCTGAGCGAATCTTCTAGCAATAAATATTAACCTGCACCTTTTATGACCCCTAGTGGTCAAAAACACAAAGGGGTGGAATCAAGTGTTTCTGAATTCGAGTGTCCCATTACCATCGCTATCCACAGCCTGATACTGTCGCACTGTGAGTTTCTATTTTTATACTTTGTATAAAATTGTATGTTTTCCACCATGCACTGCTCTTTAAATGAGATTTCCTTCAAGAAAATAAGCCAGCCAGTTTTCTCTCATTTTATTTTATATATTAGTAGAAAATTTCAGTACAAACATCAACAACAAAACTGTTTTGTGAACAGATCATAAATCATCATTCCCATAAATGTAGTGAAGAAGTGCATAATTTCAGGGAGGTCATGTGGTTCAACTCTAAACCTGCTCCGTGCCTTGCATCTGAACATCTCCAATCTGAAGGGAGAACAGTGTTTTAATATAAAATGATATTTATACAGAAAAAGAGTAAGGCATAAAAATAAGAGAAAAATCACCTGAACATGAGGAGGGGCACTGAGCACGTACGTAACAGCATTGGCAACATCTGTTACTTCCAGAGACTGTCAGAGAAGTGAAACGTGATTAATGACTTATTATTTGAGTTACCACATCAACAGTACATCAGGTGTAGGAATAATTATTTTACCTTGTATGCAGAGTATGCACCAGCTGCTTTATTAGGATTGTTTTTGTAGAACCGTGACAAAAATTCTGTCTCCACCAAACCAGGAGAAATACACTGCAAAAAAGAGTGGATACTGTGTGTGAGGGTCTCATCACAGTAATGCTGGTTTTAAAGTGACTTTTGGAGCTGCCTACAGTGTTTTTAAAGCCTTACTGTGGCTCGGATATGGCTCTTTTCTGCACGCAGCTCCTGCCTCAGGCCCTCCGTCAGTGCGGTTACAGCATACTTTGTGGCGGTGTAGAAATGCAGAACAGGATTGGGAACTACACGATGTCCGCACATGCTGCAACAGATTTATGGTAAATGGCCTGCATTTGTATAGTGCTTTTCTAGTCCTTAAGGACCCCAAAGCGCTTTACACTAGTCATTCACACACTAGCGATAGCAAGCTACATTGTAGCCACAGCTGCCCTGGGGCACACTGACAGAGGCGAGGCTGCCGGACACAGGCGCCACCGGGCCCTCTGACCACCACCAGTGGGTTAGTATGTTGCCCAAGGATATTTGGCATGCAGCCAGGAGGCAGCCTGGGATCGAACCACCGACCTTCTGATTAGTGGCTGACCTGCTCTGCCACCTGAGCTATAAACAGTTAACCAAATGAGCATTAAACAGCATGCATTAATGTGCAAGTAAAGTAACTCTTTTGAAGTCATGTCTCAATGATGTAAGAAACACGAGGCCTACAAAGCTGTTTTGTTGATAGTTAACTGGAAATATTCAGGTTCTGGATTGCTGATTGGCCACCATAAAATACTGCATGGGATTTCTGCTTATTAATTATGAAGACTAAAAAAACCAGTTATAGTGTAATACTAATATGCTGATAAAATCCTGAGCCGCAGACCTTTATTACTGGATGAGTGACACTTGTCATTAGACTAAAGAGTCTATAATAAGTGGAATTAGATATCTGCATTGATTCTGTTTCTGGCTCTGCTTTTAAAATCAAGGCTGCACTGGGAGATTCTGGGACAGTTAAGAAGTAAATCCATTCCTTCATCTATTTCCTACTGCTTATCCAGGGCCAGGTTGCAAAGCAGCAATCTGAGCAGAGATGCCCAGACCCCACTCTCCTTCCACTGTCTGGCTCTTTCCTCAGTTGGAGTCAGCAGCACTGCTGCAGAACCTGAGCTGTAGGTTGTGGTGAGCCCGACTAGACTGAGTCAGTATGTTTTAATCTTGTTCACTAGCCCCATCTGAGAATTTTGGCAAAAAATTCTCAGTTTTGGCAAACGAGGATCAGACCGCCAGGGTCTCTGCCCCTGACCAGAATTGACTAACTATGGCCTCTGCTGTTGATGTAGCTCTTTTGGGCCCCCATAAGCTAAGGCCCAGCCACCTGGTAGTTTCCCTCTTGTAAAATGTGACTTTGTTGTAAGTGAAAACATAATAATTTTAATAATAATAATGATACAGGTTGATATCACCAATAAAAATATCGAACCCGTTTATGTTTACGATGTGTCCATCATCCACATTTCTCTCTTTCATCGACTGATACGCTTCGCGTGTGCAGATACTGAGAGCAAGAACATTTACCTGCAAGAAAAAAAAACAGAAAACAAAATATCAGGAATCAGCACATTCTGGTTGATGCACTTGCTTGTTGCTTCTTGCACACAGTGGGTGAAAAACGGTTATAAGCAGCTTCAAAAACTATTAATGAGTCAGTTTAAGAGCTGTAGTCACTGAGAGGTTAATGCACACTGATCAGCTACAATATTAAAACCAGTGACAGATGATGACATGTTTCACTTTTTTACAGTTCAAAGTTCTGCTGGGACATTATTCCTGTGAATGTTACTTTTGATAAAACGCTACAACAAATATTATATTTCTACAATAACTCTGAGCTCTTACATCCATCATGTTCTTCCAGCCACTGGTTTTGCCGTTTAGCAACAATTCTGGATGAGCCAAGCCAGCATTGTTGATGCAGACGTCCACGCCTTTGTGCTGCTCTTTGATTGCTGCAAACATGGCCAGAATCTCCTCTTCTTTGGTCAAGTCACACTTGAAAGGCACCAAAACACCAGGGTAGCCGGCACTCTGACACTCTGCTGCCAGTTTCTGAAACCAGAATAGAAAAAGATGACAGACTTCAGAATCCCATTTGTGTTTTTAAAGTGTACGAATCTACTATTCAAACATGTAGATTAAGTTACTGTAAATACATTGATTTGAGTTTTCAGTTTGCATATCATCCACAAACAGTTGCCTGTGTTTGGATGTTCTGCCCGTTTTTGAGTTTTGCTTATTTCACTGACCTAATAATCATTTTGTAACAGCAGGCACATGATGATGTGATGATGCCTGCAAAAGCCTTTTCTCTGGTTTTGTCTTGAGGTGTGATTCAAACAATTCATGCATTTCATCAAGGAAATAAAAAAAAAACCCACTTTACTAATTCAAGCTCTTAATTTATTCTTGGGAGATGTCACTGTAGCTCAGGGCTGGACTGGGACAAAAAAAGATGGTCCTGGCATTTTTGGTCCAGGCAGCCCGCCATGATCCACTCAGAAAATAAATAAATAAATGAATAAATAAATGTATATATCCTGCCTACACATATTATATATATATTCCCTTTTGTTTGATTGTTGATATTGAAACAATAGAACAGAATAGATTTGTAGATGTCACATCAATGTAGTGGCGGCCAGCCACCCTGTTTAGCCATGTTTAAAGTGGTATGAATCCTGTAAAATGCTACCATTCATATCATTATGCTCTGTTTAGAATGTCCACTGACATTTTCAGTACCTTACTAGAAAGCATCCATCAAATACATGAAAAACTACTTTGTGTGAAAAATAACTTTTGTTTTCCCACTAACTTCACTTTCTGCCCCCTCATTCTTCCTCTTCTTCTGCAACCTCCTTGTTCTCTCTCTCCATCCTCCTCACTCATCTAGAAATTAGAAAATGACAAAAATCTAATCTTTAAATAATTATTATAAGAGCAACAGGGGGATCCACGATAACAGGACAACACACTGAGTAGACGTGTGGGTAAAACAGAAGCTACAGCTTTATAATTTTTGATGAATTTAATCGCTACAGCCATTAAAAGACTGATCCATAAGAATTTATAGCAATATTTAAACTGAATGCAGGCTGTTGCTAGATGCTGACAGGTTACATCATTTTGACCTGCTGTCACCTGGAGCTGGAGCTGTACTGTACACAAACACTGAAGCCCAATTTGACCAGAATAGGAACAGAAATATTTAACAAACAAAAATAATAATAAGTACACCAGCTTCTTAACTTGTGATATCCCAGCAGACTAGTGGATCGGAAGGGTAAAATTAGCTAATAATCTCTAGTGATTTATATACAGTCTGAACTTTTACTCTATTTCAGTTGAAGTGTGTTTTAAATCTGCATCACTGATTTGTGCCATGAAACTATTTCTTTATCGTCTTTCTGGCAGCAACTAAAGTCTGTAACAGAGAGACTGTAACATCATGAGAGAACAACACTGGACATAAAATTTGTTTCCATTTTATCCTGTTCTGTCCTCAATAGAAAAGTTATGATAATATAACATTTGAAGATAATACTACTATTATTATAGTTATTTTTAGGGGTAATCTGATAAAACTTCACACCCCAAAAAGGGTCTTATCTCGCCCCTGTTGTTTTCTCTCAGCTTTTCAGCTCCAACTTTTCGACACTTATTTCACCCTTACCTTTTTCTACAAGCGAGCAAGGAAATTTTATTGGGCAATCCAGTGTCAGTAATTAAAATGAGCCAATGGGTTGCTGTCAGTGCTTGTACGCCGGTGCGCAGCGGCCCTTCTGGCCGGTCCATCTCTCCAAAAGTGTGTCGGCCAACCGGGAAAATGCCAGGTGTGTCAGATTACAAGTCCAGCCCTGCTATAGCTGCACTTTGTTAAGATTGTTGATTGTGGCTAATCTTTGACAACAGCATTATGTTTCAAAGTTCAACAACCAACAGTGCATATCATCTACATACAGTATGCTGACGGATTGTGTGCCAACTTAAAGAATCATTAACCACAGAGTTGTAAATTTCAAGAAAACAAAGGGCACAAAAGAGGATTTTCACCGTTATGTTTTAAATTTTAATATTCTGGCTTTTGCTAGCTTCTTATAAAAACTCTGTAGATGTAAATCAAAAGTAGTTTAACTACAAACAAAAAACAACAACGAAGAATAGCGTTTTCCCCTGCATAATAGTAACTTTAACAACCAAAATGTATTTATCTTTACATTAAATGCAGAAATTAAGTTTTCCCTTTATAGCATACCAGAATCTTTTCGACGTCCCTGGCGCAGCCCATTACTTTCATTCCGAGCCGGACCAGCTCTACTGCCACAGCCGCTCCAATCCCAGCCGAGGCTCCGGTCACCAGAGCCACTCTGCCCCTCCAGCGCTCCATCACAGCCCGGACACCGGTAACCTACTACACGCACGAAAGCCCCACAATTATAAAGATAGGGATGCTGAGTCTACAGCAGAGAGACCCCAGAGCTCTCATGGACCTGTCACAAAAGCGTGAGCTGTGAACCCTGTGAACATGACTATGAACGCCCAGAGCGCTTAAAAACAGTCGTCTCTGTGCTGCGTTCATGACATCAGCAAACTGTAGGAAAACATTTAAATCGGTTTTTTTGTTGCTTCTCTTGAAAATTATACTACAATCTATTTACTCATATCCATCAAATGAAAACTAATTTAATCTCAATTGACCTATCTAGAACTGTAAAAGACCAACAAGACCATAAGAGCCTTCATCAAGAATTTAATGGGGAAGTGGCGAACAATGCTACAGGCCAACCTCAAGCCAAATACACAAATCTCCATCAAGTGCTGCTCGGCATAGGCCTGAACCCCCTTCAGCAAAATCATTAACAAGACTCGCTACAGATAACGTCTGAAGCAAAGGAGCAAATGTCAGCAACTTCCTCTACATGGATGACATCAAGCTTTATGTCAGGAGTGAATGAGACACCGATTCACTGATCCACACTACTAGGATCTACAGCTATGACAACATAGCCGAGATCGAAATACACTAAGTGATAGATGCAGGCCTGGTCTATCAAAATGTTCTTTTCTTTTTTAATCAGGTTCGTACAGCTGTTGTTGGGCTAGAACATCTTAGTTGCAATGTAGAAATGAAGTTACCTTTTAGCTATTAGCTTGTTATTATCAAATTGCTTTAACCATGAGCCATTTATTTTTCCCTGAGTCTCTTCCTCTCTCTACCTTTTTCGTTAACTACAACTTCCTCTGTTTCTTCCTCACTCTCTTGTTGGGACTGCTGGTCCTCTCTCCATGGCTAATGCTGTGCCTCTATTCTGAGCGCACATAAATAATTTTTGCAAATGTTGCATTTTAAGGAGACAATTATTTTGAGCAAACAAAATTCATTTCAGTGTTTGCTATTATACATATACACACACAATAACTGCCATTCTCGCTCAGTTGTTGGCATTTGCTCTTGCTCAGATCTCTGCTCTGTGTGCTCTCAGTATGTCGCTTCTGCTGTCAACATCTCTGCTCCCTGCACACTCAACTTCTGCTCTTCTTCTGTGGTGGTCCATCAGTGTCTAATTGCCAAATAGATTAATTGAATTATGTAAAGCAATAAATCATATTAAATTCCTTTTAACGATCACTCCTTATTTAACTGTTTTTATACATCTTAGAGCACAAATAGGAAACTCAGAATGAGGCCAGTCATTTCATGGACAATTTTTATTTGAAAATCACTCCCATTCACTTTTTAGACTCTTTAACTCTTTACACATGTCACATCAGAATTTTGAAAACAGACCTGATTTGTTTGACACAGTAATATATAAAGACAGCTATATTTTTGTTCAGTCAGCACAAACTTCTACAGGCCATAGTCATAGTCTGGTTTTCCATCAACGAAGGACTTGAAGAAGGCCTTGTGGGCATCTACGCTGTGTATTGTGGCTTTGACAGCTGGATCTTCCAGCATGCGCTCTGTCCACATCTTCATCTCAGGTGTGCCATCCAGACAGCTAGGAGACAAAAGTAAATTACAGCATGTGAACCCACATTTGTTTGCAAAACATCCAGCAGACAGGAAATAAATATAAGATATTCAGTAGATGCTACAAAGGAAGAAAAGCTCAAATTAGATATTAAACTGTTACTTTAGTTGTGTTACAGTTTTGCAGATTGGGCACTGTTATTTCTTCATTTGAAAGGAAGAAAAATAAGTCCACATGGAAGAGGTAAACCTTTATGGAACAACAAGATCTGGAAAACCTACTGTTGCAGCTCAAAGACCTCCAGTCTCTCAAACCACGGCCACATCATGTAGTCAAACATTGTTATGGAATCACCACCAAAAAACTTGATCTTCTTTTTAACGAGGTCCTAGAAATTGAATATTACTTTCATTAGAGTTGCATTTAATACTCTAAAATAACCAAGTATAGATAATCTTAATAATCCTTTGATTAGTGATTATGATTGGCAAACAAAGTTGCAAGCACACTCATTCACACACAGTCTTTCAAATTATATGTTTATGTGTAAAGAAACTAGAAGCATCAATTGTGTCACCTACCTCGTTCAATTTGGAAAGCTTTTCTTTCAGTTCAGCTTCCAGTCCTGAGACATCCTGACCATTCTTTCTCCCTGATGAGATCCTGTAAAAATATCCTATCCTCTAAAACACTGACATTAAACTGATTATTTGGTGATTAAAAAACAAAATAAAAAGATTTATGTGCAAGTTTCCATGTGACCTACTTTGGAAAAATACTCCAGCATCATTCTTTGCTTTAGCAAAAGGAGAAGAAGGAAGCAGCTGCTTTTCAGGGTAACCTTCATCCAACTATTCACAGGTGATCGGTGACTCATATATCAACTCACCAGCAGGTGTCTCTAGTGTCAGGACAATCCCAAATGGATTCTTTATAAGGTACCACTCAGGCTTGTCTGCCAGATGGACATTTATGATTTCATGCCTGAAACACAAAAACAGGTTGCACATACGTGTTTAAGTAAAGGTTAGGATTGTCATGACTTTCCATTCGTAAAGTAAAGCAGAATAAAAAGTAGCCTTACTTGATTCCTTTGGCTTTCAGCACTAATCTGGCCCTCTGGGCAAAAAGGCAGAACCTCATGCTGTAAACTTTGATGTACCCTTTAGGGACTGGGCCAGGTGCAGCACTACCTGAGGGAAACAAAAAACCTTCATCCATAAGAAAAAACAGCTTGGAGAAGAAGTTAACTTGTGTTTTCAGGCCAGTAATGCAACATTTTAAAATGCTGAATTGTTTTAATGTATCCATTGTGCTTTCCCATTAGGAAAGCACAAAATTCACACAATGTACAATAAATTAAAGGAATTTTATAGTTGTCAGTTTGGAACATGTTGTGCTTCCACAAGGGCAAAGTGAATTTTATATTTGTTATTAGCAGGTGGGCCCCATGTTTATAGTTAAATGTAAGGATTTTAAATCATTACAATACATTCCTATTTTAATTTTACACAACATCCCAAGATTTTTGGAAACGAACTGTGTATAAAAATGTGAAAAGAGCACCTTCATTAACATTACAAATACCTCCATGGTAATATTTATATACTGTATATATAATGTAGACTTTAAATGGATGTTGTATATTTACATATTTGTACCCTTTCTTTAGCAGGAAGAAGTAATTTTCTGACATCTGTGTGTTTTTAGAGAAGCCACAGTGTGTCACTATTTGTTCTGACTTTTTTTTAAAGTCGTTTTCAGTCGCATGCTTTTAATCGTCACGAATAATATCAATATTGACCTAATTAAAATGCATGGCTTTGTAAAACTGCAACTACACCCTCACCACAAGCTAGGTAAGGGAACACGACAGAACTCAGGGAGCAGAACGGTTCAGGGAACGGAACAGCGCTTACTGCATTTCAGAGGCTTCACTTAACGCAGTAATATCTTAAAGTCTTACCTTTAGCGAGATGCTTTTCAGCAGACGCGTTGGCACCTGAAGTAATGAATGAGACAAAAAGAAGACGGGCTGTGAAGACTGAGCTCAGATTTTCACGAGTGAATAGTGCGGCTGAAGTTCTGAATTTATACACTGCGATGTGCGTGTATGAGAAGTCTGTGTTGTTCTTAGAAAGAGGACTCTTTTTCCCAGAAAGCTAAACAAGCCACACGTATTTTCTCTTTTTCTGATTGTGTAGGTTATTATCATGAACTTTAACATTTGAAATCCTACATTAGACCTGTAGAGAAATGAGGTGTGTCAGTCTGAAAATTGACCTTGATGTGTATTTTCTGGAACATTAATGAAAGATTTTGAGTTCGTGCACATTGTGGCTTCACAATGTGCACGAACTCAAAATCGTGCTTAAAATAGCACTTTAAACTTAAAATAACCACAGAAATTAGAGTTTAGTGTTTTAAAGTCATTATTAAAAACATGAGTCAACATTACTGAAGTGACACTTTAACGATGCTTCATATCACCGTGTTTATGATGATAAAACATGTTCTCTCATTAGTAGTTGTCTGCGCTGTCACTTGTCATGAAAATGTCCTGAGCCAGGGTTCCTCTTCAATTACCATTGATCATTAATAGGACGCACAAAAGATTTGTTGCATTATCCCCATAAACAACACGCTTTTATAGAAATTATTGTGACACAAATATTTAGATTCTTGCTTCACAATGTGCACAAACTCAAAATCTTTAGTTTCATATTCATAAAGTATCGCAAAGAATACATTTATACCATTGTATGAGCTACACTTCTTGTAAAAAAAAAACAAACTGAAAAAGCTCCTGCTGTGACATTCCTTCTGTGAGGACACACACACACACACACACACACACACACACACACACACACACACACACACACACACAGAGAGAGAGAGAGAGAGAGAGAGAGAGAGAGAGGGGGGAGATCATTAATACCAAGGATTGGAGCCGTTTTTGGATTTTCACTTGTTGTTGGCTTTAATATAAACAGTCACATAAAATTCATTCCAGTTTTTTTTGCCTTTGCTTCAATTAAGATGTTTCTTTAAATCTACAACAGCTTCCTTTTCAAAGAAGTTTACTGACATAGTAAGGAAGTAGCTAGGGACCTCAGTAAGTATGAGCAACAATAGCTTAGGGACAGTTTCTACAATAAAGAGGATTTCATCATCTGCTGTTCGTCAAAAGGTGCCGTATTAAAAACAATTCAGCAGACCCTCAGAGTGCGGATACAAACTGTTTTCAGCTGTAGAGGTAGAGGTACGCTTCATGTACTTATCAACATACAGTTTAGCGGAGTGGATTAGAGTGCATTGGTGCTTGGGCCTCTTTTATTTAGCACGGTTATACCATTGTGAATTTAGCTATATGAATATGCTCAAGAGTCTATCATATGTTTGACATGCAATTAAAAATTCGAAAATATATATGTTTTTTAAATCAGTAACTTTGCAAATTTAGAGGAATTGTTTTCGGACAACATATGTATCACATTTTAAACAGGGTTTGAATAATCAGCACCGACATACAGACATTTATGCCCTGGGTATAACAGACATGCTTACCTTGTGAAAGGCCCTCGGATTTCTTGGAGCAGAGAAACACTCTGTATTGTTGCTTTTCTCTATTGTATAAGCAGCGCCCGACTGTCAGAAACGCTCTGTGCTGGTAGCAAAGTCGGCTCCAACGCACATTCAGGTGAAAAAATAAAAAGTTAAAACGATATACCTTGCGGCAGTTGTGAAGTGCTGAGGAAAATACTGTGTGTCTGATGGGGTGTTTTTATATAGGTGGGGCTACTTTCAGTTGACCTCTGAGATGTAGAGATAAAAGAGCACGATGTAAGGAAGAAAGGTGGAAAGCCTTTGGAGACTCTGTTGGACATGGTTTCTGTTGGCCTCTGACATGATAAGATAAGATAATGGAATTAACTGTTTGTTTGTAATTAAAAAATGTGGAATGTATGGAACTACAGTTGAGATGGGTGCTGGGATGCTCTTGATAAGGGAGCCTCTTTTGTTGCTTCATACCTTTTTACAGACTGTTGGGAGCCTAACTGCACCCCCTCTGTCTAACTGTTACAGAGTGTGACTAGGTGTGAATATGTGTTTTTTAGAAGTATCACAGTTTATTTCTAAAAGAATACATGTTGTTTGTGGTGCTCTATTTAAAACTATTGGCCTGTGAAACTTTTAGAAAAGTGAAATGCCCCTAAAATAGTTAAATCATCTATGTGTAATCATCGAGTCTAACTGTTGCAGACTAGTAGATAATTATAAGACTAGTTGCATTAAAGCCACATTGGGGTTGATACAGCGCTAGTGTGAATATGTACTTTTAGAAGTATCACAGTTTATTTCTAAAGGGATACATGTTGTTTGTGGTGGTCTATTTAAAAACTATTAGCCTGTGAAACTATTAGAAAAGTGAAATCTTCCTAAACTAGCTAAATTAAATGCTGTGTGGGAATACACGGTTTTTAGAAGTATCACTGTTATTTGCGGCCCTCTGTTTGAAAACTATTTGCTCCTAAATAGCACTGAAGAAAATGCAAAAGTCTCCTAACTAGTTAAAATACCCCTAAAGTAGTTAAATTAAATCATCTATGTCTAAATAACAGAACTCTGAGACCTATACAATCCTTTAAAAAGAGTTTAATTAAAACACATAATGGTTTCATTAAATATTACTATTAAACACATGTAAACTCATATGACCCCAGGACCCACATGCACGTGCAAAAAGTCCGTTCTCGCGCACGTGCACACGCACATGGACGCGGAGGGGGATAGGGGAGGGGGAAATGCCCGCGGGGTGGGGGGAGAGGGGGTGTGGGGGGGGGGGGGGGGGGGGGGGGGCAAAAAAAGTATAGGTATATTACTACTAGTGTACATTCTTTTTTGTGATGCATGTGTGGGAATCACCTGCTGGATGAATTCTCTGAACTTCGGGCTGAAGTGTGTTTGTGTAGGCTAAAATAACAATCTTAGAAATAATTCCTTGACTAATCTATTACAAAACACATATTGCATACATGACCCTGCTTTCTACAAAGTATTTATTACCTTATTTCTTATGAATTTGCAGTAAAGAGAAACCACATTGTCCACTGTGACAGGCTGTGCTCTTCTGATTCAGTCATATAAAGATCATTATTGTAATAGACAATACTCATGTCAACAGTGACTCAGCTGGTCTACATTTACATTTAAACCATCAGGACAGATTATGTAATGCTCATAATGACTTTGCAAATACATCACTCCCTTACTTGACATGCAGACGGGAGGAGCCAGGGATCCGATCAGCAGGTGACCTGCTCCGATCCCTGGCTCCTCCAGTCATCCAAGTATCCTTGGGCAAGATACTAAGTCCCCAAATTGCTCTCCGATGCTTCCATCAGAGTATGAATGTGTCTGAATGTATTTAGGAAGCACTAAGAGTAGAAGAAAGTGCTTGGTTGAATGGGTGTGATTGGGTGAATGTGGCATGTTGTATAGAGCGCTTTGAGTACTCTGGGAGAGTAGAAAAGCACTATATAAGAATCAGTCCACTTACCATTTAACAAAGATGACTGGTGGCGCGGGACACAGCGGCCACTCTGGACCAAATAGTGCTGTCTTGGTGGTTCATTTCCATTGCACCGTCTTGTGTCTCTATCGTCTTGTTCTGTATAGTCATGCACTGTCTTGCCTTTTCTATTTTTCAATTTTGCACATTCCACTTTACGCAGTTCTGTGTTTGTCTGTTATGTTTCATCTGTAGCACCGGGGTCTTGGAGGAATGCTGTCTCATTCCACTCTGTACTGTACCACTGTACATGATTCAAATGACAATGAAAGCCACCTGAACTTGAACATCAACATCAACATGACTAACCATGACATTGCAACAATGCTGCCCCTTTTGTTTCCTTCTGACATTCCTCCCTTTATTTGCTTGAGTCAACACACCTTAATTGGATTCAGGTGTGTTGACCCTGGGTATTATCTAAAACCTGCAGGCCACCGGCCCTCGAGGCCTGGACTTCGACACCACTGAACTAAAAGTGGGATATTACTGCCTGCATCTGCTGTATGACCGAGGCAGCAATCAGTCTTCCTTTGTTTTAGCTTTCACACATGGATCAAAAATGTTAGCGAAAAAGTACACGACACACAATGATTGTGCTTACTATTATTGCATTTTATTGACAGTGTTGAACTCAAGGAACAAGGTCTATTCCAGTCCAGCTCTCTTCGTCTCCACTCGACTGCTTTCACTATATAGAGAAACGGAAAGAGACACCGTGATCAGTCAATCGCCACCACCTGTAGCTCACCTGCTTCCTGGTACCGCCCCCTTGAGCTCACTGCACCACTCCTCCCCTGCAGCTGAGCTAGGGACCACACCTCCACCACAGCTAGCAAAAGAGATGTGCATAAAGCGCATTCAAATTCCTCCCTGAGTGGTTCATAACCCCACAAACAGCTCTCCACACAACACGTTCTCACTCCCAAAGCGTAACATTTTACGCTAGGTGACAAATCGTCACCATATTACGTTTTCGGCTACCCACCGTTCCTAAATGACGACCTCTGAAAAAAGAGGAAATATGAGAACTGTCAGGACTGAATCTACACATGTTTGCTCTTTTTCTTCAAATCGCTTAGAAACACGCTATTAACAGGCTATCATTAAAGTCCTGGTTAAGGTCAGGAATAAGGTTATGGTCAGGGCTAGGGATAAGGTTAGGTTTAGGGCTGGAATACAGGGCTGGAACGTCTATTACCGCGGGAGCGTCATTGCACTGGATTCCAGCCATAACCCGCCACGTACCATAAGAACGCCGAAGGTCTCCTTTCGCGTTCCTCAGGAACGCCGCAGGACGTGACAAAACGTCGACATGTTACGCAACACCATTGCTTGGTTTGCCAGCATAGATGCCCCCTGATTAGGTTTACTGGCTAATGCACAACAGGTGTGCCAGTCACCTCACCTGACACTGCTGCAGCTGAACCCAAAACCACACCCCACTATGACAAGGAGAAAAGTACTGACACGTATACAAGACTGAAGGAGGAAAAATGGAAGCAAGGAAACAGAGACATGGAATCAGTGGGGAATACTGGAGTAACAATACGAATAGGAGCCAGTCTTCTAAGAAATAACAAATCAAAACTAAAAAAAAACCCATCACAACGACCCTGGACCATGACATTTTTTTCAGCATGGTTGGGTTTGTGTTGACGTTATAGAGGCAGCTCTCCCCCTGCATGGACGCATGCAATTAATCTTGTTTTTGTGTTTATGGAAACAGTTTAAGGCAATTTTTAATTTAAGATATGGAACACTGCCATTAGATGGTAAATGTGTATTTATTACATTTTAATAAACATAGTACATGTGTAATATTGATTTAACATAGATAGTATTGATGCTAACAATGAATGAACTGGTCTAAACATCAGGAGAGATTATGTAACACATATTCATAATGAATTGGCAAATATGTCGCGCCCTTTCCTTACATTGCCTAATACACAAACATGACTTATCGTCGCAGCAAGCTGACATAGTTCAGATGGATATATAAATGCTTCCCGGCACAGGACAGTTAATTGGTAGAACCTGGGACCATTTCGTGGCCTTTCCGTTTTTTAATTCCACGCCATTTCCACTGTGTTTAATGGAGTATAGCCAAATTTTCAAACATGTATTTTTTTCCCATTTTATTTTAAAATTTCAGTCTGAGTTTTTTAAATGAGCTTAAATGGCTGAATAAAAGGCATACATCCACTATCGAACCTCGTGGCCGATTTCTGCCCCTTGAAACCCATTATAAACGCTATTTTTCACTGTACAATTATTACCATTAACGTAGTGGCGATGGCTTAACTTTCACTTTCATTCTGGACTCAGGGCCTTAGAATTGTAATTTTTTTATTTGGCCACCGGGTGGCGCCCTTGTTCCACATGTGACGCCTGCTGGAACATACACACCTTCTCCAGCGGCCTGCTCGAGAGACATACCCGGAAAAGGCAGACTAATTTCCCGCGTGCAGCAGCAGCTTGGCCCGCTGCTCGTTTCTGCCCTTAGGATCGTTTGAGGGTGCATTAATTTTTTTTAATCAACAGGAAATGACGTATTTGTTTTCACGTGGTAGCGGAAGTGTGTGCTGCAGACACGGGAACCGAACCATATGCTCCGGCGCTGCGCGAAACACACCCGCGGCAGAGGCACTCCTCCCCGGGGGAGCAGGAGCAGCAGCGCCGCCTGGGGACATTTTCGGCTTCTGCAAAAAAAATTAAAAACGGATCGAAATTAATGTAGGTGCCAATCTTTTGTCCATCTAAAGGCCTAATTATAATAACAATAAAATATTACTTCAAATGTTTTTTTTGGAAAATATTTTATGTTTTATGTTTTATGTTTTTGGGGCAAAAAAAGCAGTGTGCTCATGTGACGAAACCGGGATATAAAGGGTTAAAATCCGCGAAATGTAATTAAAACTTGACATGAATATTTCAAGGAGAAGTAGGTCTAAAAGATTGGCTAATTTAAAGTGGAATAAAATATTAATATATAAATTTTTTATAGCACTTTTTGGGCGTGGTCGATAGTGTGCATTTTATGAAATGCGCTCCTGGAAAAAAAATAAAAGGCGATCGAAATGACTGTTGGTGCCAATCTTTAGTCCATCTAAAGGCCTAATTATAATAACAAACAAATATTACTTCAAATGTTTTTTTTGGAAAATATTTAGTTTTTTTGTTTTTTGGGGCTAAAAAAACAGGGCGCTCATGTAATAAAACTGGGATTTAAAGGGTTAAAACAATGAAAATATAATTAAAACTTGACATGGATATTTTAAGCAGAAGTAGTTTTAAAAGATTGACTAATTTAAAGTAGAAAAAAATATTGATATATAACATTTTTAGAGCACTTTTGGGGCGGGACCATTTTTGGTCCCGAGGTTCACGAAAGGATGGGATTTTGAGGTTCTACCAAGTAAACGGTAAGCATTATACATATGTTCCTCACTTGGCTTGCTGTTTGTTTGCTAGCGATAGGCTACTTGACGACAGCATTAGCTAACCAGTGTTCTCTAGACCAGCGTTCCCCAACTTTTTGGGTGTTTCGTGGCCCGGGGGTTGGGTCAGGCAAAATTGCAGTAGCTTCCCTGATCATTTTACAAACATAAGTGAAGAGAATCTGGACTAAAAGGCCTAGACTTATGGTTGTGTGCTGAATCTATGAATCAAACTATCACCTGGAAACATAATTAACTGGTCCATAGCTGTGAAACTGGACATGAGTTCTTGATTCTATGGAGATTAACAGTAATCCAGAAATTTACAAATTTGTCCTGGTACATCGCGTAAATGTTGTCCCAGGGACATCGCGTAAATGTTGTCCCTGGGACATTGTGTAAATGTTGTCCCTGGGACATTGTGTAAATGTTGCCCTGGGACATCGTGTAGATGTTGTCCCTGGGACATCGTGTAAATGTTGTCCCTGGCACATCGTGTAGATGTTGTCCCTGGGACATCGTGTGATAGCGTGTAATTGTTGTCCCTGGGACATCGTGTAAATGTTGTCCCTGGGACATCGTGTAGATGTTGTCCCTGGCACATCGTGTAGATGTTGTCCCTGGGACATCGTGTGATAGCGTGTAATTGTTGTCCCTGGGACATCGTGTAAATGTTGTCCCTGGCACATCGTGTAGATGTTGTCCCTGGGACATCGTGTGATAGCGTGTAATTGTTGTCCCTGGGACATCGTGTAGATGTTGTCCCTGGGACATCGTGTGATAGCTTGTAAATAATGGAATGAAAATTATTGATTGTTATTAACTTGTGAAAAAGAAGTGTAACAAATCCACATGTTATGTTCTTACACCCTTACAGAAACTGTGACTCCTTCACAATGTCAGGTAAATGTCAACTCATGTTGAATAATCAACCAATCAAGCCTTTTATTATCACATGCAATGTTACACGTACAACTGCAATGAAAATTTCACCCCCTTCTGACCATACATATATTGCTTAAACATCACATTGGGAAGACAGGTCGGAAACAGTTAGGAAGGTCAGAAAACAATTTAATTAATAGATGAGGGGAGAGGAGGAGATAAAAGAACTACAACCAGACAAAGCTCCTAGAAGACTGAAATGGATGATGGTTGCAGCATGCAAAAAGAAAATGATATCTGTTGACTACAGCATATGCTTTCTCACAGATTACCTTGTGGGAGTAGCTGGACCAAACTCTATTGGTATTTCAAGTTTGAAATCCCTGTTTGACCAGACTAACATTTCAGATGAGGTACCTCTTGACATAAAAATCCTTTTATGTTGTCATAAAACTAATGTTAAATTCTGCTTTAAATACACTTTATTGTACAATTTACTTAATGAATCGTATTCCTTAGTTCTGTTTTTATTTATATGTATTTATTTATTTGTTTTATAAGGTAATAGATGGCCTAATCTATTTGCAGTGTGAGGTATGCTGAAAAGCTTGTTTGATCATAATGACATAGCATGTTTACGTTTTTTGTAATGTATTTGAAAACATAGGTGTATTTATGTTATTTTTTATAGAATTTCCCTCACATTTATCCAATACCAAGCCAAATCACTGGAAAAATTTTGGATGGGTCCACAAGAGCACAAAGTGCATACTTTTTGAAGGTATGACTTGGACTGTGGTAACTATGTTCTTATCACAAAGGGTTTATAAGTTGCCACTATAAACAAACAGCATTTTCCAAAATTGAAGCCTTGTCAGAAGAACCTGAAAAATACCTTTCTGAAACCTTTTCTGTGTAAAGACTTGTTCAAAAGCAATGCACACAGATTAAAACATTTCTGTCTTGGCCAACTGATAAAGAACACCAAAAATTGAGTGGTGCGTGTTGAGTCTGTGGTCTTGATTTGTTTTGTACACACTATAGAAATTAATTAATGGAAACCAAAAATGACACTTTCTATATGTTTGTGTATCTGCAGAATTAATTACAAGTCTCACCTGACAAGCTTTTGCAGTTTTGCAGTGTCATTCTTGACAGAAAAACATACTTGTCACATTATTTTTATTTCCAGAAAAACATCTTTCAGATGTATGAGAAATTGATTGGAGCCTGTCTGGAAAACGGCAGCCACTGGACCTTGTTTGTAAGTTGCACAGATTTTGCACTCTCTCTAGTGCATGATACTTTTCAGTGTCCCTCATTAGGAAAGCTCAAGGCCCAAGCCTACCATATCCATCTTTTTACAAAACAGTTTTGTGACATACCCAAGAGGACCATAGTCTATATGAATTCATTTGGCGAGTCGGAGGTCAGAAAAAGTGCGGTGTTGAAAAACTGGAGGTAATTAATTAACATATTTAACATAACATATTTAATTTAATTGAAATCATTACCGAACGTGGTTATTGATTTCTCTATATGCTTTTTATTTGTAATAACTGCGATCTCTCAGCTCATTTGCTTCAGCAAGAGGCTGCGCTGGAGAGTGGACCTTGTCACATGTGAGCCACCCACATCAACAGGATGGGAACTCATGTGGAGTGCATGTCATAATGGTACTGAAAACTATAGCTTTAACCTATATAAGTTGTACAAAAGGGTTAGGGTTGTGTATGGGATTTCCTATGCCCCCTGAATGCACCATCGGGGTGCATGTCCGCAACTTTAGTTCAGAGACAAACGGCAGCCAAACAACGGACAGTGTGTGCGTTCATAAGACCGTAAGTTAATGTTTTACTTCACTCAGTTATGTTGGTGTTCAGCCATGAGTGTATTTGATGACTTACCAGCAGTTTCTGCTTCTGTTTAAGTGACGTTATGTACAAGTGGCAGTTCGCTAGCATAACAGATTTGTTTGCTAATTAGCTTCTAGCAGAGAGATTCGTTGTTATCGTGTTGTTGATTCTGTGCTCTGTGTAACAGATGATAAACCGATGTAAAGTTGCCTTCAGTGCATAGTTGTATGCGGTGTGTTAATGCATAATGTCTGACTTTAAGTTTATGTAACCAGGCTGAAGTATAATGTCAGCTTATTTAGCTATATACTGTACTTGAGTACACCTCAGTTGTATCTTTATGTTTATTATGTAATCTGATTCCTAATTGATTGTATTATTATGCTTTGTCTGCAGAAACCACACATACACACACACACACACTCTATTTCGCCCAGCTGCGGGCACATTCTCAATTGAAAATACAAAGAATGACAACTTTATTCCTGGACTCTGCCTGTTTGTTCCTCTCACATCTGAACATTTGCAAGTGTCCTGACCCGACACTCTGAAGTGATTGCTGCCAGCTCAGATTTCTTTAACCCTTCTGAACATAAGTAATGTTTACATTTTTGCCTATTCAGTTTTTAAAGCCTTAGAGGCAGGATGGTAAAATCTCAATTTTTTTTGTAGATTGAACCATTTCAGCAGTAATGCTTTGCTTTGGTTGCTCTGTTTTTTTTTTTTTTCTCGGGGGGGGGGTTTAAAAACAAACAAACATTTCTTTGTTAATCTAATTCTTTTAGATTAACTAATGCCGGTTTCCAACACTAATGATCGGGTGAAGGAGAGAGATGAGGGTGTGCACGGCCACTGGTGCTCTTATCCCTGTTCTTTGTGATACAATCCAACAGGAAAGCAGTCAAACCCTTGGACATTAGCCAAGTTAACGTTCACAAATATATACACACAGAGGAACTCTGAGCCCCAATGTCAGCATTAGCACAAACATGCCACTTCATACCAAATCTCAGTGTGAGGTCAGGTGTTAGTCTCATTCCATTATTCTGGCTATATTTTCTTACTCATTACTATTAAACTTATACTTAAGACTAACTATTAACAAAATCACACCCCAATAACTCTGTTATTACACTTTGTATTTAATCATAAAAAGGCTGGATGTTGAAACCTTTTACTTCTATTTTGTATGAGCCAGGATTCTCAACAGCTGATACTCTATGTCCAAAAAGTGACAGGTATCGTTTTATGGAGCAAAAAACTTAAGAGCGCATATTTTATAAATAATACCAACAATTACAAATGCAGACCTTTAATAGTAATAAGTAATCCTTTATTTATAATGCATAGCAATATAAAAATAGTAACATATGAAAATATTACAATGGGCACAGATGAATTTGTATCAAAAACAGCAACCAAGCCAAAGTAATGAATAACACACATAAATAACAACTGCTTGAGAGACCAAACAATTTCTTTTCATCTGTTCCTTGGCAGAAAGTTAAGACAGCTATTCAGCTTTAGGTTTCAATAAACAGAAGTAATGGATGCAGTCCCTTTGAAATGTCACACAAAAGTCTGCTTGTGCATATACTTAGCTTTAACTCTTCTCTTTTTTGTTTTGTATTCCAAAAGGTTTTCATTTTCTCCAGAGGATGTCTCTCTTTCAGTGGTTATCGACTGTTCACATTCATTTTCAGACTGTTGGAATGTCGATGCTGGCCGAACGTTTCTTGCTAGAATACAATGGCCTAATTTTGCGTGCATTATCTGTCGTCTTTATTTCGTACTGGCATATACTTTTGCCTACTTGTTTTGTTTTTAAGACATTTGTATGCAGTTCATCTATCATTGCAGTAATACCCTCTGGAATGAATGCCCACTGTTTAACTGTGTCTAAAACAGCATTTAGTTTTCCAACTGCATCTTCTGTGCATTTTTTGTCTGTGCTTTCAACTACAGGAGTGTCATTCAAAGTTGATAGAGGACTTTTCAGAGAGTTTTTCATTTGTTTAAAATGGCTACAAGCCACCTTCAGGCAAGCACATGTGTTATAGTGAGAGAACGTACAACAAGTGCACTGAAGTGTTTCAGCCGATGCAAAAAAACACAGATTTCCAAACAAACTTGGCATTTTTATCACTTTCAAGTCCTCACAGTGTACAAAGTAATGCCTTTCTTTCACTGCAATTCTTGCCAAGGTCTGTTTCCATGTTTGGATAGATGTCATTGTCAGCCTCTGCTAATTTTGCAAGTAACACTAGATGCTTGCAAAGAAGTCCTCGTAAGCCATATGTACAGTTGCAGTAGGACTCAACAGGGCAGACGTCATACACCATGTCTTCTCTTGACTCAGATGGGACTTGATATGCATTAACTCCATGGCTGTTCTTGACTGTAATTTTAAGAGCCCAACCACTTTCCATCAGTCTTGAAGCAGAGTCTGAAACTTGAGACAAGGGGTCAGCAAACCTGTTTTTCATGCGGCCCACATCTTGCAGGGTTTTTATGACTGAGAAGTAGTCGTCGGCCTTCCCTAGGAGCACTTCAATCAGATCATCCAGACGCCTATTCTTGTAGCCAGATAAAAACTGGTATTTCAGGCGGTGGAAAAATCTGAAAAACAGTTATTTGAAATGATTAGTAACTGTAATTGAAGGAATTTAAAGTTTTAATCAAGACTGTATTATTTTTTTAAAAATTGGAATACCTATTGCACACGTCTTTTATAAAGGAATGCTCTGTGCCGGTTTAGCTGATTTAGGCAAATCCACCTACTCTGTTTTTTGTTGTGATAACATAAAAAACGCTGCTAGAATTTAAAGGATTTGCCTAAAACCTGTTCTGGCAATGACATGACGAACCTACTCAGTTTAGCCTCTTGGATTAAAGCATAATATCTTTTTTTCAGCAATACAATTGAATGAGGTCAAAATAATAAATCATACCTTTCAATCACATTGTTTGTTTCAGAACGAGCGTGACTGAAGCGACGGCCGTAGTCACACCACATGTGGCCAATGCCTTCCCAGTGCTTCTGAAAATACTGGCACACCAAAGGGTATTGCTTAAATGTCTGGCAGAACTCTGCTGATGTGGCTTTAAAGTCGTCCTCCTAAGAGAATTGGATGCAACAGAATATATTTCAATCCATTTAACAGACCTATTGAAATCTTTAATATTATGTATTGAAGCCCTTTTCCTTTTATTGAATAACATTAAGAATTTTAAGTTATTAGAAATTGTTTCAAAAATCTATTTTGTATCTCTCTGTAACTTTTTTTAGCAACTGAAAGTTATTATGCTCTTAGTGTAATCAAGAAATCAAAATGTGAAATAGACAAATTACACTTACAGATGTGCAAGCTTTCAGCTTACAAAAGAAAGAAATGATTTCATTTCTCTTTTGGGTGTTAGAAAGCCCATGGACCCCGGACTCTGATTTTGAAAGCCATCGATTAACAGCCTGTGAATGTAAGAGAAAAAAAGTTAATCTGGAGAGAGAGACAGAGGAGCAGCTGTACAAAAAGCATAAAAGAAAGCTGACGTCCAAAAATAACTTTGTCACTCACTGGACAAGAGGACCTGTGCATTACAGAAATCAACCAGGCAAACATATTTTTAAATGTCAAAAAGAGCTTTGGGAAGCAGCCACCAGAAGATGAGTGCACTGTGGTCTTAAATGGATGGACATAGTCACTCAACATTTTATCCCTTTATATTCATTAACCTGAGTAGGTGAATATCACAATGAGGCAAATCATAACAACAGGACCCTGTTGTAAAAATGTGTTTCAGGTGCATCTTAGACAACGTGAAAAGAAAACAATGTGGTTTACCTGCAAGACATGGTACCAGCATAGAAGGATAGCTGACTCTGGAAAAACCTTTTGCAAAGCATTTATTTCCGCAAAGTCTTTGTCAACCATAAATGCTCTACAGAAAAAAAGAAAACACTAAATGAGATTAAACAGTATGAAAATGTTTTTGCTATCTCAAAGCACCACTTCAATGCCAAATTAAACATTTCAACTCACAAGTAGATATATAAAATACTGCATACAGCCTATAGGAATAACTTTAACAACTGGAAAGGAAAGTTTTTTGCAGCCCATGCTGCAGCTATGGCATTAGATTCTGGCATGTTATAACTTTTTTGAAAAGGAATTATTTCAAAATTAATAGCTGTCAATGTATTATTTACCTCGGGGAAGTTGGGAAATGCTCACAAACTATTCCAAGAACAGTTTCCAGGGTTTTCTGACTTTTGTTGCTGACAATAGCATAGGCCACAGGGACTCCATGCCCATGATCATCTCTTACAACAAGTGTGAATAAGGGAAATGAATACTGGTTAACGCAGTGCGTGGTGTCAACAAATACTAACTGTTTTGCATAGTTCTCCATGTTTGATTTCATTACAGGTGTCTGCAAAACAATCATTAGTTCTTGGTCAGATGTGTATGGTTGATAGAAGAGAACATGTTCTTGATGTTTTCCATTAAGTAAGGTATGTACACTTTGACTGTCTCCACAGTTAAAGTGCTTCTTCCTCATCATGCAGGTTCTAACACTGTCAATGTCACGTGGTGTGACAAAATGCTCTCTGTTGTGAAGATCTCTGTGTCCATGTTCTTTGGCCCATTTATGACATTCGGTTAGTATGATGGCTGGCTTAGTTCCAAGGGAAAGCAGTTCCTCAATCTTCCTCCTCAAATCACTGGAAATATTGTTGAAATGTGCGTCTTTTGGGTCCGAAGGATCATGCCCATCATGCTTATCATATGTACGCTGCACGATGACTGTGTGGTCTTTCCAACATTTGAGTACTTTAAATGAAACATAGGCCTTACAGCCCACTGCTCTGTAGCGGTTTCGACTTTTTTCCCCAGCTCTGATGCAGTTGAATTTGTAATAGTCTCTTTTCCTGTCTTTACCTGAGGCAACATTTAAACATTTATAATGTCCATGAAGGGTTAATGAGTTCAATTTTTCTAACACAACACTGAATGGGTCCTCCTGGCATTGTGACACATGCACACAAAGTTGTGTGTCTTTTCTAGTTCTTTTTTTTTCGTCATTCAGAACACTTCTTCTAATTATGTCGTCCATTTCTGGTGGAAAAATAACAAAGGTTTAATTAGTCAATATTCATTAATTCATTTTAACTTGTTTTGGGTTTTTTTGCAATACAATGTAAATATTAAATATAATATTAAAAAAAATATATATATAAAATAATATAAAACAAACAGGGGCTAAAAGAAGCTAAACTTTCATATGGTATGTCTCTGGCAACTTTAACATGATGTCCCAGGGACAACATCTACACGATGTCCCAGGGCAACTTCTACATGATGTCCCAGGGACAACATTTACGCGATGTCCCAGGGACATATACATATACAATACCAGAATACCAGAATACCGGACTGGTAATCTGGTATACCGGGTATTTTCCCTGTGGGGGGCTGATTTTTTTCTTCTTGTTTGCATTAGTTCAATTTTAATTTTCAATCAGATCTCTTAACGCCTCTGGCCCCTCCTACTTTCCGTGTGCGCCTATGCACCCTAGAACAGAGTTAGTGTTAATAAAGCGGGATACAAACGAAGAAAGAAAAGAGGGGAAAAAACTAAGAGAGAAAAATAAACAAGAAATAGATACAGCAAAGTGTGTCAAATTAACCAACATGTTAGCAGTGCAGTAGTACCAGAAACAGCTGATATAAAGCCCTGGCATTCACAAGAGCCTGCTGTAGCTCATGGCTTTATTTCTGTGTCTCTATTCTAAACGCACGTAAATAATTTTTGCAAGAACAAATGTCGCATTTTGAGTAGAGAATTATTTTCATGTACAAAATTCATGTACAGAATTCATGTATTTCAGTGTTTGCTATTATCCACATAGACACAAAATAATAGTGTAGTTAAGAACATTTTAGGTTAGTATTTTTAATTATTTGATTGTAAAATATATATTTTTTTATGTTGGTTTTAATCTAGTTTAAACCAAACCACTTCACTGGATTTAGCTACATTTGTGTTTCCTGAATGCAGTGGCTAGCGAGCTGATTGGAGACCAAAACAGCCACTCATTTTGAATTCAAGTCTGTAATTAGTTGGTTTTTTGGCATATTTATAACCATGTACAGAAAAAGTTGAGTGTGCAGGGAGCAGAGATGTTGACAGCATTTATGATGTTATTCTGGTATTATTATTATGTTATTATTATGTTATTATGTTATTCTGGTATTCTGGTATTCCTGTCCCCAGCATCTCTGCTTTTGTTTTGTCCCCAGCATCTCTGCTGGGGACAGGAAGAGACTGAACAGGGTGATCCGAAGGGCCAGCTCTGTTCTAGGATGCCCTCTGGACCCAGTGGAGGTGATGAGTGACAGGAGAACGGCGGCTAAGCTGTCATCCCTGATGGACAACATCTCCCACCCCATGCAGCAGACTGTGACAGCACTGAGCAGCTCCTTCAGTGGGAGACTGCGGCACCCACGGTGTGGGACGGAGAGATTTCGCAGGTCTTTCCTCCCCACTGCTGTCAGACTCCATAATAAAGACTTTAACTGATCAAGCACACACATCCTGTTAAGTCTAATTGTTGAATGTTGCCATTGTGTTTCTTAAATTTGTACAGTCTTAGTTTAAGCAGTAGGATCAAAGCCATCCCTTTGATCCTGACCACCTTTCCAGCCACTCTGTGCTGGGGGAGGTTTTATTGTAGATACATCCTATCTGAAAGATCTGTTTCTTTTGATGTAAACTTCCTGGGTTTATGACCCTTTGGTCAGCAGGAGGTAACACACACACACACACACACACACACACACACACACAACACACACACACACACACACACACACACTTACATACAGTGCCTTGTCTATGTAACCAAAGGGGGGTTGCAAGGGGAGGTGCTTTGTAAACTATTGTTTGAGGATTGTCAATAAAAGGCAGCGAGAGGAGGCCACCATTGGGGTCATTGTCGTGCTGGACACAGACGAGGCCTCCCTTGCGCAAGTAATGGATCGATCGACTGTCTTGTTTTCTTCATGATGAATAAGTCTCTAGAATTAGCGGGGTTTGTGGAAACACAGACCCAACATCCATACATATGCAATAATACTAAGTGCAATAATCCTTTCTGTCATCGTTGTATTTTTACTCAGTTGTATATAGTATTTGTATTTGTATTCTATTTTTATCTTATTGTATATTTATTTTATTTTATTCTACTGTATATAGTATTTTATTTTATTCTATTCTGTACAGTTGTGTACTGTATTTATTCTTATTGTATTCTAATTTTTGCCTCATAACTTTTGCACTGTCCACTTCCTGCTGTGACAAAACAAATTTCCCACGTGTGGGACTAATAAAGGTTATCTTATCTTATCTTATTATTTAAATGATCGTTACTTAAGGTTTGTAATATTTGCAGATGACACAAATATACTGTGTTCAGGTGTGGAGTTGCCACAGGTTTTGGAAATGATCACACAGGAATTAACGATATTAAAGAAGTGGTTTGATATAAATAAATTATCATTGAATCTCGATAAAACCAAATTTATGTTGTTTGGAAACCAAAAGAAAAACATCGAAGTAGAAATATGTGTTGACAATGTATATTTAGAAAGAGTAAATGAAATAAAATTTCTTGGGGTGATCATTGACCACAAGCTCTGTTGGAAGCCACACATTACTTATGTTCGGGGGAAATTGGCACGGGGCATTGCCGTCCTGGGAAAAGCAAAGCATATGTTGGATCAGAAAGCACTGCACATTTTATACTGTGCTTTACTACTGCCATATATGAGCTACTGTGTAGAGGTCTGGGGAAACACATACAAAAGTAACACACAAACAATAACTATAATACAGAAAAGGGCCATTAGATTAATAAATAATGTAGGGTACAGGGACCATACAAATGCACTCTTTGTCAAAATGCAAGCTATTAAATTCCAAGACTTGGTGAAGCTTAAAACAGCGCAAATAATGTATAAAGTCAGAAATAAATTGCTTCCCAAAGAAATCTGTAAATTGTTCATAGAAAGAGAAGGTGGGTATAACTTAAGAGGGAAATGGAATTTAAAAATACAAAGTGCTAGAACAACTTTAAGAACTATGTCAATCTCAATTGCAGGAGTTAAATTATGGAACAGTCTAACAGAAGAAATAAAAGACAGTCAAAACATAAAACAGTTTAAAGTAAAATATAAAAACCTAATTTTAAATAAGTATAAGAATGAAGAAAACGGGGTTACCCCAGGATGGTAATGTTGCTGGTAATGGTGTTGCGGTTCTTTTTTGGTTGTTTTTTTGTTTTGTTTTGGTTTGTTGTTTTTCCATAACTTGTGTATCTGCAAATATACACATTCTGTATTTTTCATATGAAAGAAACTATACTGTGGTGGGGCTTGCTAATTTCTTGTTTTTGATTTATGTATGTTATGTTTTGTTTTACTTCATATGTTTATATGTTTCATATGTTGTTTGTTTAATTTAAGACAAAAAAAAAATTAAATGAATGAGAGGTAAAACTTGAGGGGGTAGGGACAAATAAGTAAATACTTCAGCCTACTCCTTTTCAAACAAATAATGGAATGATATTTTGTAATGATTGTGAAGGCACATGTTTGAAATGTTTGAAATAAAAATGAACTGAACTGAACTGAACTGAACTTATTGAACTTATGTTATTTCATCAGGGTTGTGTTTACTGCCAGATTCTTCATGTGGTCAATACTGGTTTATAAGGCATTTCTATTGCTTGGGACACCAATCTATTCTGACTTTAAGAAGAAAAGGTTTCTTCATATATAAACTGGACATGTCAGATATCAGTTATTCAGATTACTTTAGCTGACTTTAGCTGACAAAGATATAATTGATCTGCTCTTTGACACTGAAGATTAAGATTCGTATTTTCCTTTTTATTTTTTTGTAAAACAACACAGTCAGTCATGCCCATGCATACCATTTATCATGGTACTGCTAAAATAGCAGAACAGCAAAGATATTCTCTATAACACTGTTGAGACTGTGCATGTATGGGTGCAGCAACCTGAGGGAGCTGGGCTAAATCTGTCTAACCTGAATGGACAGGATTTGCTGTCTCATGCTCCCAACAGTGACAAATACACAAGCAAAAAGCAAAACTAGAGAAAAATCATCCAGGAGGGATCAGAAGAGAGCAATGGCCTCTGGTAAAACTGTTTGCAAAACCATTTCATTTACAGGGGTTGTCTTGTTGTTGCCATCTCTTCAGGGCACCATGGTTACTGTCATGTGCACAAAAGCGGATTAAATGGATTCACAACAGATTATGCTTCCTAGATGGGGTCAGTGATATGTTAAAGAAATCGCTCATTAAGGTCTAGTAGCTCACAAATGTCAGCAGAGTGTGACAGAGTATAAAAACAAATATAAAATCGAATTAATATTTAAACCACGCTGTAAAAAAGAATTACGTAGAAAAACAGAAAATGTCCTGGTAATTTTCTGTTTTGACTTCGCTGCACTCAAATGAAGTCCAGAGTCACCAGATTTCAATCCAACGGGATGTGGGAACTTAAAAGATTCACATTACGGATGTGCATCTAAAAAATCTGCAGCAACTGTGTGACCAAAATCTTAGTAGGAGTGTTTCCAGCACCTTGTTGACTCTGCCATTTAGAGTTTAAGCCGATCTGAAGGCAAAAGGGGTCCAACTTTGTAATAGCAAGCTGTATCTAATAAAGTGGCTGGTGATTGTTTTTCAGGCAACACTTTAACAAAATTTATATTTTATTACAGCAGTTAATTATGTTGATCATTTTCATGAACGAGTGTTGATGGCTTTATCTTCTCTCGTTTCATAAAGGATGCCATGGATCAAATGCCAAAGGAGGAACGCCCCTTTGAATTCAAACAGCTCTTACTGTGGCCGCCACATAGACATTTCTGTCACTTCACTCAGTTTGTGTGTTCTGGGAAATTCAATATGTTTAAATAACATAACATAACATTAACATTCTCAGGACTTTTTACATTTACTTTCACATGTATTAGTAGTATGTTATTCATTAACGGTATCCAAATATTTCAGCTATTTTTCAGCCCTTTCTGTGCCATACAATGTATAAATTTAATTTCCTTTAAATAATACATAATAATTATGTAGATACATAATTTTCTAATAAAAAAAATAACAGAGTGCAACAAAGTTTCCTTGAACACCATTTTATTAGATAAGTTAGTGAAATTATTCAGAACAAACATCATAAAGTTATATAAGGACCAGATCATAAACTGTCCCCTGTGTTTCAGTCATTACTCACATTACCTGTGAGATGCTACTCTGTAAGATTCCCTGAAGTACACTATCATATAATTAGCAAGAACAACATGACCTTAAGCTATAGCCCCACACACTGACACAAATCCCTAACTTACGTGGATACGCATTTCTTTTAGCGTTTAATTCTAAACGCTGAAAACCAGCTCTAACACTGTTTAAAAAAAGACTGCCACTGTGATTACACTGTAGAAACAGGTAGAGTGGGTAGAAATGGAACCTCCAACCTCATCACTGCATTTGTTAGATGTTTAAGATGAGGCTCTGGCTGCTGGGCAGGGGTTAGCATATACTCAGCTTTAATATCTCTCTGGGCTTTTAACTAGCCTTGTGTTTGCATGGTGTGTGTGCAGATATTTGCAAAGAGCTAATGTTGAGTTAGTTGTATAATGCAGTTGCTTCCATCATGGATGCAGTTTGTGCTTTTACCATTGTGCTCTTGTCAATTCATGCAAAACAAGAAATACAAGTAATGTCCTTATTTTTACTCCTCAGAAGTTGATTCCCATTTTACAATTTTCCTGCTGCTTACACACGAACTAAAATCAGCTGGTTATAGAGCAACAGCAAGACACGATTAACAGTTTTTTCTTTCTATTTGGCCATCCTCCAGATGATTGGAAGAACCTTTAAAAGGCCAGTAGTGCTATAATTGTTACAACTGTGTTGTATTACTGAAAAATGTACCGTAATCTGATTACAGCAGCATGTTACACCCAATGCTGGTCGTCAGTTTCATAAAGGAGAAGAATTGGTCTTATTAATTCAGGAGCGTCTCGTGGTGCAACTCTAAGACTTCTGCTCTGTTGCTAACATCTGAACCTCTCCAATCTGAAAGAAAAGTTATGTTAATGTTACCTTTTTATAACACCACATAATACAAGAAAACAAAAAAAGTTAAATAAGTCACAATTAAAAGAAAATGAAAACAACAGTAAATCACAAACCAGAACATGAGGAGGGGCACCGAGCACGTATATAACAGCGTTGACAACGTCTTTTGCTTCCAAAGGCTGCAAGAGAAATGAAAATATTTTTTTTTTTAATCCGAGTAATCATCTAAATAGTACATGAACTGCCGAAATAATAATCTTACCTTATATGCAGAGAAAGCTCTGGCTTTTATATCTGGATTGTTGCTATAGAGCCGCAAAGGAAATTCAGTCTTCACTAAGCTGGGAGAAATGCTCTGCAAAAGAGTAGATACTGAAAAGAACTTCAGGAAGCATTGTGCATGTGTGTCATAGAAGCTTATATTGGTGGTAAAGGCAGCCTTGGAGCTGGTTACAATGTGTTTTAAAGCCTTACTGTGGCTCGGATATGGGTCTTTTCTGCACGCAGCTCCTGCCTTAAGCCCTCAGTCAGAGCGGTTACAGCAAACTTGGTGGCGGTGTAGAAATGTACATCAGCAAGGGGAATCACATGATGTCCACATTCACTAAAACAGCAGGCAATTTGTTAGCTTTTACACAGATGGGCATTAAACAACATGTATTGATCTTTAAGTTATTCCTTTAAAGCCATGTCTGATTGATTCAAGAAAATCTGTGGCCCACCACAGAGCTGTATCAGGTCTGTAACAATCATTTTGTTTTGATGATTTGATAATGATAATTCCTGAGCTGTGCACCTTTTCCAGCGCAGACATTTTTTCTGTGTGTTCCATGTGGGCCAAGAGGTTTTTGGATTCTCTTGGCTGTTTACTGTTCTGTTGTTGGTCCTTCAGGGTTTCATTTTCTAGCCATAATTCCTGTTTGGTTTTCTGTGATTTTATCATCAGCTTAGATTTTGCTTTCTTTCATATTTCTCAGGTATAGTTATCATTTAATAAATCAACAGATTAACTAAATCACTTTTTTCTGATTTAGCTCAGCTCTTATCCCTGACACTTTTTCTTATGGACTGTGTGCTGGCTAAGAATAAATGAGGCATCTTTGGTTCCTGCCCTCTGCCTCTCTGCATCCTGCATTTGGATGCATCTCTTCAAGATTCTAAAACCGTAACAGTAAGTTTTTCTATCATTGTTAATGTAGCAGGAATGTTGTATTATAACTATGTGTAGATGAAACCAACAGTGTATGCGACATGCGGGCTCGTCATTGTACATCAGCAAATAAAAATGCACCTGTTTATGTTTATGATGTGCCCATCGTCAACATGTCTCTCTTTCATTGACTGATATGCTTCACGCGCGCAGATACTCAATCCAAAAACGTTCACCTGCAAGAGACCGAGAAGAAGAAAAAAAACTTTACATTTAATCATTTCTTCTTGTGCACAAGTGTAAATTAACCCACAGTGTTAATTCTTACTCAGGTGCAACATTAAAAGCACTGATAGGTTACATTTATTATTTTAATGTATTGTTCTGCTGGGACACCCTTGATGTTACTTTGAAAGAAATCACAAACATCGCTGCAGACCAATCCAGGAGATAACACTGAGCTCTTACATCCATCATGTTCTTCCAGCCGCTGGTTTTGCCACTTAGCAGCGGCTCTGGGTGAGCCAAGCCGGCGTTGTTGATGCACACGTCCACGCCTCTGTGCTGCTCTTTGATCGCTGCAAACATGGACAGAATCTCCTCTTCGTTGGTCAAATCACACTTGAAAGGCACCAGAACACCAGAGTGGCCGGCACTCTGACACTCTGCTGCCAGTTTCTGAAACCAAGCAGGAAACAAAAACAGACTTCAGAATCCCATGTGTGTTTAATGTATGTAAAAATCGTTCACAATTTAGATTTATATAAACTTAGTGTAAATAAGTAGATTTAAGTTTTCACTTTGCATATCACCTCTAAGTTTACAGATTGAAGTCAACTGAAGAATCATTAACCAAAGTCTTAAAGGGAAAAAAAAGCTGCACAAATGCCGTTTTAACATAAAGCTGCCGTCATATTCTGTCTGAAAAGATGACAAACTTCAGGATTCCCTTTGTGTGTTTGCTCTGTGTTTCAATCTACCATTTAAACATTTACAGTGAGGAACATAAGTATTTGAAAACCCTGCGATTTTGCAAGTTCTCCCACTTAGAAATCATGGAGTGGTCTGATATTCACATTGTAGGTGCATTCCCTCCGTGAGATACAGCATTTAAAACACAATTCAGGAAATCACATTGTATGATTTTCAAAGAAGCAAGAATTCTGGCTCTCAAAGACCTGTTACTATGCCTTTAAAAAGTCCACGTCTACTCCACTTATTAATCTAAATTAGTAGCACCTGTCTGAGCTTTTTAAAGACACCTGTCCACCCTACAGCCAGTCAGACTCCAACTGCCTCCATGGGCAAGACCACAGAGCTGTCAAAAGAAATCAGAGATAAAATTGTGGACCTCCACAAGGCAGGAAAGGGCTACGGGGCAATTGCCAAGCAGCAATTGTTAGAAAACGGAAGAGGCTAAAGACGACTGTCTCCCTTGGACTGGGCCTCCATACAAGATCTCACTTCATGGGGTATCACTGATGATAAGAAAGGTGAGGAATCAGCCCTCAACTACACAGGAGGAGCTGGTTAATGTAATGAAGAGAGCTGGGACCACAGTTTTAGAGGTCACTGTCAGTAGAACACGTGGTCTCAAATCATGCATTGCACGGAAGGTTACCCAGCTCAAGTCATCACATGCAGGCCCGTCTGAAGTTTGACAGTGACGATCTGGATGATCCAGAGGAGGTGTGGGAGAAAGTCATGTGGTCAGATGAGACCAAAATAGAACTTTTTGGTCTAAACTTCACTTGCAGAGGAAAAAGAAGGATGAGTTGCATCCCAAGAACACCATCCCTACTGTGAAGATTTGGGGGTGGAAACATCATGCTTTTCTGCTAAGGGGACAGGATGAATGAGGTCACCATTCAGAATTCTTGCTGATTTCCAAGTGTTCAAATACTTACGTGCAGCAGTGCAATACAAATAAATTTTTGCTTGAGGCTCTTTGTGAACAGCTCACAAAGAGTATACTATACAGCAGGCACATGATTATGCAGTGATGCCTGCCAAAGACATTTTCTACATTTCTGTGGTTTTGAGGTGTGACACAAACTGTGAATTGCACAATCAACACATAGGTTTATGAGAAAAATACATCTAACTCTGCTGAAAAATGATCCTCATAGCATTAGATATCAACCAATACTTCGTGACAGAGTCACTTTACATTAAATTACTCCCCGCAGAAACTGCAAACCTGTATTTTTCCGACGTCCCTGGCGCAGCCCATTACTTTCATTCCGAGCCGTGCCAGCTCTACAGCTATAGCCGCCCCAATCCCGACCGAGGCTCCGGTCACCAAAGCCACTCTGCCCCGCCAGCGCTCCATCACAGCCCGGACGCCGGTGTTCAGACACGCACGAAAGAACAAGGAAAGAATCACAAGTATAAAGAGCGTGAGTGACGAGTGTCCTGTGATATAAAGCATTTATATAAACATCTCAAACATAACTGACACCGAGGCTGCAGCACATTGGCACAGCAGAATTCCTCCTCCTCCTGAGTGTACCCTGGTGCCACGCTACGCCCCACGCTCTAAAACAGGTTTGTGTGCTGCATTAAAATCAGGTGCAAACATAGGAAAACAGATCAATCAGCTCTGTTGTTGTAATTAAATACTTCAAGGGAATTCAGATTGCACAAACTGATCAAAAGCAAGTAAAACTCCGACTTAAATTTAAGAGTCACATCTAGCCCTTGGAGGTTCCTAAGGACATTTGTCTTTTTCATTTTTAGTTTTAAACCATCTTCACTGTGTTGAGTGGAATATAGCCAAATTTGTCAAAGAATGTTTTTTTTACTTATTTTTTTTAATTGTGGTGTCAATTCATTAAATCAGCCTAAAATGCCTAAGTTACAGCAATCCATCCACATTAGTCCCTTTGGACAAAAATGTCCACATTGAAACCCATTATAAACGCTATTTTTCACGCCAGAAAAATTACGGTCAAATCGATCGTCAGGTTTCTAGCTTAGGTTTCGTTTTGGACTACAGGCCTTAGAGTTGTAATTTTTTTATTTGTCCACCGGGTGGCGCCCTTGCTTCACATTTGACCTCTGCTGGAAAACAGCGGGCTGCTTGGACAGACCTGCCGGAAATGAAGCCTCATCTCCGGCGTGCAGCAGCGGCTTCGCCCGCTGATCAGGCGGACCATTTTTTGGTCCCTAGGACCATGAGAGGGTGCTTTTTTTTTTTTTTAGTCAACAGGAAATGACGTATTTGTTGTCACGTGGTACCGGAAGTGTGCGCTGGAAAAAGGAGTCCGACGCAACATGCCCCGATCATCGTCGCGAGTTAACCCGGGAGAATGCACTCATTTCGGCCTCGACGAGCAGCATTTGCCGCCTGGAAACCATTTTCTGGTTCTGGAAAAAAAAATAAAAGGCGATCGAAATGACTCTTGGTGCCAATCTTTAGTCCATCTAAAGGCCTAATTATAATAACAATCAAATATTACTTCAAATGTTTTTTTGGGAAAATATTTAGTTTTTTAGTTTTTTTTTTAGTTTTTTTGTAATTTAAAGGGTTAAAACAACGAAAATATAATTAAAACTTTATATGAATATTTCAGGGAGAAGTAGTTTTAAAAGACTGACCAATTTAAAGTGAAAAAAAAAATTAATATTTAATATTTTTATTGCACTTTTTGGGCGTGGTCGATAGTGTGCATTTTATGAAATGCGCTCCTGGAAAAAAAATAAAAGGCGATCGAAATGACTCTTGGTGCCAATCTTTAGTCCATCTAAAGGCCTAATTATAATAACAATCAAATATTACTTCAAATGTTTTTTTTTTAAAATATTGAGTTTTTTTGTTTTTGGGGGCTAAAAAAACAGGGCGCTCATGAAGTAAAACTGGGATTTAAAGGGTTAAAACAACGAAAATATAATTAAAACTTTATATGAATATTTCAGGGAGAAGTAGTTTTAAAAGACTGACCAATTTAAAGTGGAAAAAAATATTAATATATAATATTTTTATTGCACTTTTTGGGGAATGGACATTTATGTCCATTAGGGACCAAGGTGGATGTCTTTTTTAGGGATCTCCAAGGGCTAGTATTAGTATTTATTTCAGTACTGGCTATACATTCCTTTGCACCATCTAATGTGCTTCTAAACGGACACAGGAAAAGTTGAGTTTATATAACGATAAATACATGGATAGATTTATGCAAATATTTTTAGGATTGGTTTGTTCACTTATTTGCAGGTATTAGTAATGTGGAATGGACATTATAGAAATATATATGAGCTATTTTACCACTGATTTATGTATTTTTTTATCTTAAATATATTACTATGTTAAGCAATTCTTTTTGAATACTGAAATATATAATTTGAGATATTTTCATACTTAAGGTTTAATGTTTTACACCATAAAGTTTTTCTAACAAATATCCGTGAAGTGCAATTAGATAGGGAAGTACAACAAAGTTCCCCCCAAAATAATTACTTGATTATTTCATACCTTAGTATATAATGTCTATAACAACTTCATAAAACTGTTTAATGACAAGTTAAAATCATCTTCATAAATGTAGCAAAGAAGTATAAAAAAAAAATTCACTCCATTATTTGACAAGGTCACATGGTGTAGTTCTATAAGGGCTGCTCTGTCGCTTGCACCTGCTTTATCGGGAGTGTCCTTGTAGAGTCATGGAGCAAATTCAGTCTCCAATAAACCAGAGAAAATGCACTGCAAAAAAGAGTGGATACTGAGGAAACTCAGAAGAGTTGTGCAGGTGTCTCACAGAAACTGAAATTATGTGATTAATGTATGTGAGAGTGGGAAACTCCAGCAGATCCCAGGAACAATATCAGACCTCTGTTCAGAAGAACACAGTCCTAGAAGAGCGCACCTTCATACTCCCAGGGTCTGGTAGAGGACCCGAGCTTTAAGGATAAACTACCCGCAGGAGAGAGAGGGGATTAAAAAAAACAATGAAGTCTAGTTACAGAGTTTCAAAACACATGGCATTTGTTTATGCCATTACTACACATTAACTAAACACACAAGAAGCCAGCAGGAAGCACATTAGGAGCAAAGCGAGCTGGAACACAGTGTGACACAACAGAGCACACAAGCAAACCGAGACTTTAAAAACACAGGACATGGAAAAACAAAACCGAAGGAAAGCAGAAAAGACAACTCACAAAGTAAAGCCGAAAGTAACCAACTAGACACAGCACTGTGAGAAAAACACACAGCATAGAGAAACATGTGGGAGGCTACAGTCAACTAAAACACAAAGAATCCACCTCTAAGACTACTTATCATTTTAAGTATAAAACAGAATGTACGATGCTGGAATACTGACAGAGACACAAAAAAATAAAAGAAACTCAGTCAATTAGTAATCAAAACCACAGCTTAAGAATAACAACGAGTCAGTAGGTTCACCATTTTATTTAATTATTTACATGTATTTGTGATGTGTCACTTATTGATATTACATAAATATATTTTCTATTGATTTTTGCATTTTCTTTTTCTAAAATTTTTACAATTATCTTACATATCTTGCTATACTTCATTAATACTACTAATGCTTAATTTCTCAAGTACATTTATACTTAAGGTTCAGACATGGTTTTTAAACGATAAAGATTTTATTAAAAATCAGACTTCCCTTAATGCAATTTAAAAAAAGAAAGGAAAAAAAGAAAGAAAAAAGAAATGCAACAAATTTCCCCTGAAGATTGTTTTTTTATTTTATACATTTGTGAAAAAAAAAACAACACCATAAAATTGTTTCATGATCGTATCAAGTCATTATCTTTTAAAATGTTGTAAAGAAGTGAAATCTGTCATTGTATAATTTGAGAGGGTCTTGTGGTGCAGCTCTAAGACACCTGCTCTGTCCCTCGCATCTGAATGTCTCCAATCTGAAACAAAAGTTACGTGAACGTTGTCTTATTATGAGTCAAAGTTAAACAGGAAAGTCTTAATAAGACACAATAAAAAGCATAAAAACAAGAGCAAAGCACAAACCTGAACATGAGGAGGGGCACTGAGCACATATACAACAGAACTGGCAACATCTTTTGCTTCCAGAGGCTGTGAGAGAAATGAAAAGTGACTGAATACTCTTTACTTGAGTAATCATATCAACGATACTTTAATTATAGGAATGATCCCTTTACCTTATATTCTGAGTATAGACCAGCAGCCTTATCAGGATCGTCTTTGAAGAGCCGTGGACCAAATTCAGTCTCCACTAAACCAGGAGAAATGCTCTGCAAGAAAAAAAAAAAAAATCATGAGGGAACTCCTGTACGTACTGTGTATGCGTCTCATAGCAACTGTTACTAGCATTATGAATTATACTAGCACTTTATGAGCTGGTTATGGTATATTTTAAAGCCTTACCGTGGCTCGGATATGAGTTTTTTCTGCACGCAGTTCTTGCCTCAGGCCCTCAGTCAGAGCGGTTACAGCAAACTTGGTGGCGGTGTAGAAATGTGTAGTTGCATTGGGAAGTACACGATGACCGGACATACTGCAACATCAAACAGATTACAAACCTGAGCAGGTAAGCAGAAATAACATTAAAAGTTCTTCTTTTAAAAGGCAAGTCTGACTGAATGATGCAAGAACTTCTGTGGCACACAGAAGCTGAGGTCCAGAGCTGCAAAAACTGGTTTATACTCACAAAAATTGCTTAAGTCCAAAATCTGGATTTGATAGTTTGATACTGATCTCCAGTCTGGATTTTCCTTCAGCTTTCATATTAGTTTGGGTTCTGGTTGGCCAAAATAACTGGAGATGTCACTTTATTTAGGACAGTTTTATGAACATTTTAAATACTGTCTGACATTTTTTTTGATGGTTTATCCTGCAGATGAATAAACACTGACCTCAATGAGGTCTTTAAAATCTGGACTCAGTTATTTTGCAAATTTCTAAATGTTGTAATAACAGGCATTTTGTCAAAGCAAAGTGATGGCTGTTTCAGTGCAAAAAAGGTCCGATCCCTACAGAAAACAGAAATCACTTCGGTGTTAGGGCTGTCCGATATAACGATATATATCGGAAGACGATATGAAAAAGTCTATCTTTTCATATTACGCTATCATTTGTTTCATGGTGTCACAAAATAAACTGTTTACGACCATATTTTTTCATCGTTTTGATGGTCACTGTAGTGGCTATATTAATTTCTTAAAAATCTCTCTTTCTCTTATATTTAAAATAACCACACTACGGACGGACAAGTGACTGTTTTTACATGTTGTCATTAGCAGCTACGACGGTAAACCCAGTGTGTGGCTCCGTCATCCGCTTGTTTATTTTCCACATAAACCTTTTACAATAAAGCTCAAGATCCTGTTGAGATGTTTCAAAATAAACTGAAATGATGACAAACAGAAAGACCACTCAAAACAAATTGAGGACCTTATTTCTAAACGAGGGGCTAGCTCTGTAGCATGGATATGGTTTGGTTATGAAAAGTCTGACATGGACCAGAAAACTGTGCTCTGCAAATTATGCAGGAAACCGATCTCCACCTCAGACTCTAACACGGCAAACCTCTTTAACCACCAACACAAGAGTCACGCAAAAGATTATGGAGAGAGTTTATGGATGAGAAGCAAAAAAAGAGCAGTCAGGTGCTTAAAATAAACCTTAGACTCAAACGTTAAAAAACAGGCTTTTCCAAGCAACACGCCATGTAATAAATTCATCCGAGTCAAGGTTTCTGGATAACTGGAGAATATTCCTCATTGAAAAGGGTGCCAGGGGGGTTTTCTATGAAGCCAGATTAATGGCTTAGCAAACTGAGGCTTGAGCATAAAGGCACAATTTTCTCTCTAACTTGGCCAAATAAGCACAGTAAGAGCAGGTTGTGTTCTGAGTTTTCATCTAAAATTGACTGGTAGCGCCATGCTTTAGCTGATTTCGTTCTTTTCTTTTCTTTTTTTTTAATTCATAGCATGTTTTAAGTGAAATACAGATTCTCTGCTGGGGGAAAATGTTTTATATGTCCAAGTTTTTAAGCTGAACTTTATGAAAACCACTGAAGAAAGCATTGCATTGTCGTGGGAATGTACATGTATTAGTTTGGTGATTTGTTTTTAACTTTGATTCTGCTGGAAGTGCAGCAGAACACACACCAAGAGTCTTTGTTCAAGCAATCAAGTTAGTTTCCCTTTGATATATTGACAACATAAAGAAATTTCCATGTCTCCTGTGTTAACCTGTGGGACAATAGGCCGCACCAAGAGGGAACTCAATGATAAAATAATTTAATTAAACTTAAATTTGTTTATTTTACCGCTCTTTGAGCAAAATCCCAAGATTTGCAGCATTAACCTTTTGTCTTATTTGCAATTGTTGAATTTCGCTGCTATAGGTTTTATATTTTTTCTTTAGCGATTTTTAATCCGTATTTTAACATTATTGTCAACAAAACGCCTGTTTTTAGTGTGCTCAGCGCATGAAACAAAGTCCCACTCAACAGAGAAAGTTGACAACCACCATTGTGACAACCGTTACTACCATAATGGGGCTTTAGGTTTTGCTGAGCCAGCTAACCTAAAGAAAGCCTGGCTGTGTTGAACTTCATCCGTAATACACCCCTCAGCACAACTGCACCGACAGGCAGCATTGTGTAAACTTACCTGCTTGAATGTGACGAAGTTCATTAAAATGTAAAAGTCCTGCCCTCATTTCACTTGTAGCTTTCTTTCAAAGTTAGAAAATGTCGGCCATTTAAAAATAAAAAATTGTGCAGAGTTGCAAAATTAATATCATATTCACAATCTGAATAGAGAACATGCCAACATGAAAACATATGTGTGTTCTTATTAATTCAACAGTTTTTCACTTCACAAGCTTGCACAAGCAAATAAAACTGCACCTGTTTATGTTTATGATGTGCCCATCATCCACGTTTCTCTCTTTCATTGACTGATACGCCTCACGCGTGCAAATACTCAACCCAAGGATGTTCACCTGCAAGAAAACAAACAGAGAAATCTTGCACAACAAAGGTTTTTAAGCAACTTTGAATTCTGTTTAAAACTGTTTGAAAGTGTTAATGTTTAAACAATACCACAGCAGTAAAATCACTGATGGGTGACCTTTGTCACATTTGTTATTTCAGTTCAATGTTTTACTTGAAAACCACTAGTGAATGTCACATCAATGTAAACCAGGATCTGAGCTCTTACATCCATCATGTTCTTCCAGCTGCTGGTTTTGCCATTTAGCAGAGGTTCTGGATGAGATAAGCCAGCGTTGTTGATGCACACGTCCACACCTTTGTGCTGCTCTTTGATCGCTGCAAACATGGCCAGAATCTCCTCCTCTTTGCTCAAGTCACACTTGAAAGGAACCAAAACACCAGGGTGGCCGGCGCTCTGACACTCTGCTGCCAGTTTCTGAAACCAAACAGGAAACAATAACACACTTCAGAATCCCATCAGTGTTTAATGTATGCAAAAATCGTTCAAATGTTAGATCTATATAAAGTTAGTCCGAATAAATAGGTTTTGGTTTCACTTTGCATATCACCAGTAGCGGTTTTTGATACGGGCAACACGGGCGGTTACCTGGGGCGGCATCGTGGTGGGGGGGCGGCATCACGGGCATCGGCAAACAAAAAATTAAAAAGAAAATTGCTCGTGCTCATGCTGCCCCGACATCATGCCAGCGCATATTGGGAATGGCATAGGCACCGATCGGTTTTCTATCGCCCATTTGCTGGGAGTAAGGGCGCCCTCCGTTTGCGCCTGCTGCTTGCGGCAAAGGAAGGAGAGGGCGGGGCAGCGGGGGATTCACTGGCTGGCTAGAGCAGCGTCTAATAACCCACCCCCAAAATAAAAACAAACCAACAAACACGAAAACGCCTGACATTATGATACAGACTTATAATTTGCACCGATGATTTTGCGAAATTCTATACGTTCAAAGTGAGAGCGAGAGCCCTCGGTGCGCCTGCTTGCTGCTGAAGTCAAAGTAAACTTTATTGTCATCTCCGCTACATACAGTCCAGTATATAGAGAGACAAGACGGCGAGGTTCCAGTTACAAAAGTGCAAGTAAACAAACAATAAATATAAGAAGAGTAAGAAAATAAATATACACTTAAGACTCGGGGTAAAGGGATAAATAACAATTTAAAATTTATAATTTACAGTTTGATGATTTAAAGTCTCACACACAACACATCGAAAGGGGAGGAGAGCCCTGCTGCTTCCAAAAAGAGCACATTTCATTCATAATGCTGTAAATCCAAGCCCATTATGTATTCTTGATTTGAATACTGGGTTGTGTGAAATCCCAGAAATAAACCCTAGACAAAGTGAATCTGTGAACTAAGGTGTAGGTTTATTAAGTTATGTTGTGGTGATCCTCGAGTTGGGGGATGGGTGTTCATACTGGAGTGCAAAATTAAAACCAAGATGGACAAGAACAGTTCAAAGCTATCAGGTGCTCAGTTTAGAAAAAAAGAAAAGAAAAGAAGAGGAGGAGAAACGAAAGATACAGGTAAGCAGATGTGTCATTGGATAATGGCGGGTTATGTATCCTGAAACAATCAGAATCAGAATACTTTATTAATCCCTAAGGAAATTATGTGGGTTACAGTTGTTCCAAGAACAATTGGTAAAAAATAGTAACAGTAACAGACTACTCCAAACTCCAAACAATACATTATGTTACAGATTTAAATATTAATTAGTCATTGTCAATTGTTGATTTGTCCTGTTCTCATTGTATGATGAAATATGATAGCTGTTTGGTAGCCGTTTGCATACTATGCATACTCTCTCAAGACAAGAACTAACAGACTTAAAAACTCCTTTGTCCCACACGCCATCAAACTGTTTAACTCCTCTCTGGAGGGGAGAGGGAGGGGAAACAGGAGGACAAAGGAGGGGGGAACAACTAAGCTGTAGTGCCTCTTCACCTCACTGTGCAATACCTTGTGCAATACTTTTTGTAAATAGTCAACAGTGCAATAGACTCAATACTTGAAATGTGCAATTCACTTGTATTTTTATTTTTTATTCCTATTTATTCTATTTATCCCCTTTGTATATTTTATTTATATTTGTCTCTGTATTTATATATGTGTGTGTGTGTGTGTGCGTATATATATATATATATATATATATATATATAACAATTCTGTAACTGTAACTTCGGTCGTTGCTGTGCTTTTTGGAAGTCGAATTTCCCAGAGGAACCCACCCGAGGGATTAATAAAGTTCTATCTCTCTCTCTCTCTCTCTCTCTTCATGTGTGTGTGTGTGTGTGTGTGTGTGAGTGTGAGTGCGGGGGTGGGGGGTGGCAGAGGGAGTGTTCGCCCAGGGCGCCAAACAGGCTAGGACCGCCACTGCATATCACCACAAAGAGCAGTGCATACCATCTATAAACAGTCAGCTTACGGATCTGTGTTCAGATGTTATACCAACTCGAATCTCTGCCATCTGAATAATCACTGGCCAAAGTCTTAAGGTAAAGAAATCTGCGCAAATGCCGTTTTAACATAAAACCGTCGTCATATTCTGTCTTTCTCATATAATATCACTTTCTGTTGAAAGTAGCATGAGTGACAGTTAGTTGCAATTAACATTTTGTGCGCAAGCTGTTTAACCGACGACTAAAGTGTAAAGCAGAAAAGCGCTATACAAGAACGAGCACAATTAGCGTTTACCAAATAAGTGACACGGCTGCAAATTTTCTGCATAAAGCCAACAATAAACAGCAACATTTACTGTGCGATTTACATTAAATTACTCTTTGCAGAAAGTTTGAGTTTCTATATCAGAGCAAACCTGAATCTTTCCGACGTCCCTGGCACAGCCCACCACTTTCATGCCGAGCCGGACTAACTCTACGGCTATAGCCGCCCCAATCCCGACCGAGGCTCCGGACACCAGAGCCACTCTGCCCCGCCAGCGCTCCATGACAGCCCGATAACTGCAACACACACGAAAACACCACAAGTATGAAGAAAGGGACGTTGAGCCTGCAGCACAGTGAGCCCTGGAAATGTCAAGCACATGCGAACCGCAAACGTCGCACAATCAGTACGTCATACGTCTCGGCGTATGCGGCGTTCACGTAAATCAGTTGCAAACCGTAGAAAGCAGTAGCATCAGTTCTGTCACTGCGATTACATACCGTACTTCAACCGATCATAGCCTTACTCACATTTAATTGACAGTAACGCATATCTTTCACTTTACTGAAGTTAAAACATATCAACCATTAATAGAACAGACAGACCTGTCACAAATGTAACTCCCACTGCGTATTTGCTCCGTAAAATCAAAGATACGACGTAGAAGCCGTGACTCAAAATCTGTGCAACGGCAAAGAAAGAGCATGGCTTAAGAGGGAATGTATTCATATAGTTTTAAGTCTCTGTGACCACGAGCATTACAGTTTATTTGGATAACTTCTTCACAATAATAACTGTCTCGCCACTGCTCCACCAGGTCACCTCATCTGCCAGTAAGAGGCGCTAAAAAGCAGGGCCGTGCAGAGACGTTTAAAGGGGCGGGTGCTCAAAGTTAAAAAGGTGCACATTGAACCAGGCTGAATAACAACAACACACATTCATCAAGAATCTAATATCATCGCATCATACTATATCACTGTTGTGAGGTGGCGACAAGGCAAAGCATACGTAGCCTATGTTTTACCTGATGGGTACAATGTTGCTGTTGAGGGGTTGCTGCTGATAGTGCTTGAGGGCAGGGCTGTGTTGATCTGAGACTGTAGACATTAAAAAGTCCATAGCAGAGATGGTAGCTGATTAAACAAGTGTCATGAGATAATAAAAAAATGCAAAGATTGGTGACAGCGCTTGGAACCATAAGGCAGCAAAAAACTGTGAGAAATAATGTAGGCTCTGCCTGTGAATCACTCTTTGCTTCTCTTCTTTCTTCCATCCCATCATCTCATATATCACTCTCCACTTGCTGTCTATCTGAGAACAAGGCACAACTTGCTATTGCAATAAACTATAATCTAATCATCCACACCTAACAACTCTTGCACTTAATCTATAATAAAATGATGACAGAAAAATGTTATAGCACTGCCTTTAGTAGCCTCACACAGCTCCTACTGTTTCCTCCTCATGTCTTTACCAGGCATGTCTGGACAATGTTATATCATGAGTAATAATTAAAAAAAAATCCATATACATAAAACAAACACATGCAAGCACACACAGTGACATTTTAGACCTTCTTCAGAATACTGTATATACTATGGGCATCACGGTGCTGATCCAGAAGCCTTACATTATTATTTGTTACTAGAGCTACAATAATAAAGCAATGAGGAGGGGGAAGTAATAAATATGAAAAAATGTCATTATGATGATTCCATTTGTTTCACTATCCACTCTGTGCAGGGGCAAAGCTTATTACATTTTTAAACTGTAGAGATACAATCATTTTACTGCTGTAAAATCCAAATTTTGTCTTATTTAAAATATAAATCTAATATAATCTGCTTTTAAATGTATGTTTTTTAAAATACAGCGTGTGTTTTTTAAAATATTATAATAATGCATAATTATGTGGACATGCATATTAGACCGTTTTTTAGCAAAAAATAATCCCCCCCAGAAAGGCAGGAAAAGCTCTGTAACTTACTTTAAAACTAAATATGTTCACTAAAACGGTGACAGAGCTACAGACCCATGACAGCCTTACACAGTGAGCTAGCAGCTATGACCAGCACTACTTGTGCAGTTAATAAAAGGACAGGTGTGTTCGTCGCGCTGTTGCAAACAAAGCACGCTCATTTGTTTCAGTTCGTCAAATTGCGACAAGACAACTTACCAACGTGTAAGTAATAAGCCAATACTCCTGGGTGCTACACACTACAGTGTACGCTGTACACCTACTTACTGGTTTTGTCGCATCACTCTGTATCTCTGAGTTAACTTGTGTTTCTCCTACAGCTCCGGACTGCAAAAAATGCGCGTGCTCTTTGTGAGCTCGTTCCCGGCTCGTAACCAGCGCGTTCTGCCGTCAGGAGCGATTATTGCTTAAATGTGATCATGTGACTGATGCAAGCCAGATCCTTTTATTTAGCAAAACTGTGATTAATAGTATGTATTATTGTTGAGGGGCACAGACAGGACTCCGCACGCACACACACATAAAAAAAATTAAATAAAAAATAAATAAATTAAAAGTTGCCTCAACAAAAGGGCACTTTGGGGACCCATCAGGAAAGGGGCGGGTGCTCAAGCCCCTCCAGCCCCCCCCCCCCCCCCCCCCTCTGCACGTGCCTGCTCCTGAGTGTACCCTGGTGCTACGCAACTAGAAATATATATGAGCTATTTTACCACTGATTTGTGTATTTTTATCCCCCCGGATTTCACTATCAACTTAGATATATTACTATTTTAAGCAATTCTTTTTGAATACTGAAATATATATTTTCAGATATTTTCATACTTAAGGTTTAATGTTTTACACCATAAAGTTTTTTCTAACAAATATCCGTGAAGTGCAATTAGATAGGGAAGTACAACAAAGTTCCCCCCAAAATAATTACTTGATTATTTCATACCTTAGAATATAATGTCTATAACAACTTCATAAAACTGTTTAATGACAAGTTAAAATCATCTTCATAAATGTAGCAAAGAAGTAGAAAAAAAAATTCAGTCCATTATTTGACAAGGTCACAGTCCTAGAAGAGCGCACCTTCATACTCCCAGGGTCTGGTAGAGGACCCGAGCTTTAAGGATAAACTACCCGCAGGAGAGAGAGGGGATTAAAAAAAACAATGAAGTCTAGTTACAGAGTTTCAAAACACATGGCATTTGTTTATGCCATTACTACACATTAACTAAACACACAAGAAGCCAGCAGGAAGCACATTAGGAGCAAAGCGAGCTGGAACACAGTGTGACACAACAGAGCACACAAGCAAACCGAGACTTTAAAAACACAGGACATGGAAAAACAAAACCGAAGGAAAGCAGAAAAGACAACTCACAAAGTAAAGCCGAAAGTAACCAACTAGACACAGCACTGTGAGAAAAACACACAGCATAGAGAAACATGTGGGAGGCTACAGTCAACTAAAACACAAAGAATCCACCTCTAAGACTACTTATCATTTTAAGTATAAAACAGAATGTACGATGCTGGAATACTGACAGAGACACAAAAAAATAAAAGAAACTCAGTCAATTAGTAATCAAAACCACAGCTTAAGAATAACAACGAGTCAGTAGGTTCACCATTTTATTTAATTATTTACATGTATTTGTGATGTGTCACTTATTGATATTACATAAATATATTTTCTATTGATTTTTGCATTTTCTTTTTCTAAAATTTTTACAATTATCTTACATATCTTGCTATACTTCATTAATACTACTAATGCTTAATTTCTCAAGTACATTTATACTTAAGGTTCAGACATGGTTTTTAAACGATAAAGATTTTATTAAAAATCAGACTTCCCCTAACCAGCTCACGCACCAAAAGTTTGAAGAGAGGGACGTGCCAAGATAGATATCCCCGACAGAATTAGTTTCCTCTGCGTCGGGAGCGCGCACTAGGTAGGGAGAACGGATCCCGTTGACTCCGCCTCCATTCCAACCAACTAGACGTAGAAACAGTGACGAACTATCAAAAACCTAAAGACGAGTGTACATTACCGTTCAATTTGTGGGTTTCAACTGAAAATGATACGTTTATTGTTCTCATGTGTTATCAGCAGTGTTGGTCAAGTTACTTGAAAATAGTAAGTAGTTACTAATTACTGATTACTTATTTTTAAAAGTAATTAGTTACTTTGTTACTTACCGGTAGTTAGAATTAGGTTAGGGTAGAAACAAATTTCCATAAACGATCCATATAAAATAAAATAAAACTACACTAAGCATTGTTACATTATTATACTGATAAAAATGAACTTTGACACAGAGTCATGTGTACAGAGTTATAATGGATGATGAATTGCAATTCGGTTATAGAGTAACATAAACTGGCTGCTCGCCTAGTTTCTTGGTGTCATCTCAGCATGACACAGCAGAAAAAACCTCATTATCATTAACTTTATTTATTATATTGTGGCAGTAGTATTAGTTGCAGCAGTTGGAGTATTTTAAATTGGATTTCTCTTTTAGGAACAGTTGTGGAGAAATGACAGACATGCTTTCTCTTCTCTGATAGCTTCTAGAAAAAACAGATGTTGCCAGTGCCATCATAATATGTGCTCAGCGCCTCTCTGCATTTTCAGAGTCGTGATTTTCTCTTATTTCATGCTTTTTACTGTGACTCATTGAACTTTCCTTTTAATTGCATTTTAAACACAAACACTTTACTCATATTAAGATAACACTGATATAAACATGGCAATACTGATGTATGGAATTTAAACCATGGCTGGTTCTTCGTGAAGAGCACAAAATGTCCAAGAAAACATACCTCTGAAGATCATCACTATTTTGCATTTCAAAGCTCTGCTTTTACTTCCATTACAATATTAGCCACTACAGGTCATAGTACAGTCGTGGCCAGAATCTACTGCTCTTTGGTCAAGTCACACTTGAAAGGGACCAAAACACCAGGGTGGCCAGCACTTTGACACTCTGCTGCCAGTTTTTGAAACCAAACTTATATGATTTCTTGGTAGGCTAAGTTTTGTATTGACAACTCCTTTAAAAGTGTACTCTCTCAGATACCTGCATTTAATTATTTACAACAAATGTATTATTTATTACAACCACAATTAACACTAGCAAACAGTTCTCTATTGCATCCTTGACAATGGAGCATTGTGCTTGCTGAGCAGTGTCAAATTGTCAAGACAGTCAGCGATTTGGTGAGTGTTTTCAGAAATATTTGCATCATCCACACAAACTGTTTGAGAGTGCAGAAATCTGCTACCGTACAAAGGAACCACAACAGAGTTTTTAGTACAGCACCATATACCTCCTTGCCCCGAATTTTACCTAGTGACTGCCAAAAACTTCCAGCAACCATTCACCAACTGGTTGGAGAACATAGATTAATGAACAAAGGCCACTTACCAGTCTCTAGGGCATAGTTAATAAGAACAGTTTATTGTTAATTCTGTTGAGTTCAATTTCAGTTTAGGTCAGTGTGCATCTGAATTGAACAAAAACATTCTCAAGTCTTTCTTCATTCGCATTAGAAAAATTTATTTTGGTAATTTTCTCACAGTCATTTTGACAGTTCTGTTTGATGAAAAATTCAACTTTGACTTGGCTTTTTATCATTTTAGGATCACGTAGGAATGTGCTCAGTAATGGTTGGTGGTTTTTATTTATTTTTTCTTAGCAGAGGATAAATGGAGAGCAGTGTTGAGCAGTCAGGAGTTTCACACCACTTTGTTGTGGAGGCTGGATTGTGTGCCTGCACTGTGTTACCAGCTACACAGCTTCAAAGTTAATGTCGCCAACCTGAAAGGAAAGTTATAGAAATATTATCTTATTTTGAGTAATCTGGTGATATTTACAATATTAATGAGCTAAATTCAATAAGTGAACATTTAAAAAGTTGAAAATAAGAGAAAACCTACAAACCTGAACATGAGGCGGGGCGCTGAGCACGTATGTGACAGCACTGGCAATGTCTTTTGGTTCCAAAGGCTGTCAGAGAAGTGAAAAATGCTTAATAACTTTTATCAGAGTAATCATATTAACAATCTATAAACTGTGAGATTAATAATTATACCTTAAATTCACTGTACATAGCAGCTACTTTTTCAGGTTCATTGCTGTGGAGCCGTGATACAAATTCTGTGTCCACTAAACCAGGAGAGAGGCTCTGTAAAAACAAAAGAAAAACAAAGGTAAAAGAAGTGTGATTGTGTGTCGACTTCGGAAAGTATTGTAAATGTGTCTCATAGCAGCTGAAATTGGTTTTAAGGGCACTTTTTGGGTTTATCAGTGTTCTTTAAAACCTTACTGTGGCTCGGATATGGGTGTTTTCTGCACGCAGCTCCTGCCTCAGGCCCTCAGTCAGCGCGGTTACAGCGAACTTGGTCGCCATGTAGAAATGTAAATCGGGAACGGGATAGACATGATATCCACCCACACTACAACAGAAGAACATTTCACTAGGTCAGCATTTACCAACATATTTTTTATCTGATTTCAGGATCACATCTGTGTTTTATCCTTGGAGGAGGAGTCCTCTTTACCAAAGAAATGAAACGAGTGAGCGCCACTGGCATCTTAATAAAATGTCACCCTCTTCCTCCTCATCTCAAACTCATCTACTGAACTGGATTCCAGGATTGAATATACAAAAATGTGCACAAATATGCCTATTTATTCCCAATATTGGGAATAAAGGCAAATCTTTTCATTCTCACTATTGAAATCTCCACAGTTTCCATTCACTTTAGGTTAAGAGTCTTGGCATCATCCTAGACAGCTCACTATCCTATAAATCTCACATTAATGATCTCACTTGTTCTGCCTATTTCCATCTACGCAACACGGACCGATTGTATCCTTCTCTTTCCACCCAGTCTGTATCCTTTCTTGATCATAGTATAGTTACATCCCACACTGTCTATTGTAATTCTCTCTTGCATGGTTTCCCCCAAAAATCCCTCCATAAGCTTCAACTGGTTCAAAACTGCGCTGCCCGCATACCAGCACATCATCCATATCCTTCAGGAATGTCACTGGCTCCCTATGAAATTCTGAATGGCATACAAGTTTCATCTGATTACCTTCAAGACCCTTCATAACCTTGTTCCTCCTTACCTTTCTGACCTGTCAAGCACTACCTCTTCTGCCCGCTCACTTCGATCTTCTTCTTCTATCCAGCTTGCCTTCTTTCCCCTCAGCACCATGGGAAGCAGAGCTTTAGCTCTCTGCTCCCAGCCTGTGGAACTTTCTACCTCCAGATATAAGAAACATTGGTTCTCTCCCCCAGTTGAAATCTCAACTTAAAACCTCTCTGTTCAAGTCTGCATGTTCGCTGTGAACTTATTGTTTGTATATTTTATCTTGTTCTTTTGATTGTTCTTTGTTTGCCATTAGTGTTACCAACAGAAGCTCATAATCTCAATCTGAATCTGAGCATGATTATATTCAAAGATATTTGAAAGATGTTTAAATCATCAGACTTCACAGGCATGGCCGTCGTTGATCATCAGCAAATAAAAATGCACCTGTTTATGTTTATGATGTGCCCATCGTCAACATGTCTCTCTTTCATTGACTGATATGCTTCATGCGCGCAGATACTCAATCCAAAAACGTTCACCTGCAAGAGACCGAGAAGAAGAAAAAAAACTTTACATTTAATCATTTCTTCTTGTGCACAAGTGTAAATTAACCCACAGTGTTAATTCTTACTCAGGTGCAACATTAAAAGCACTGATAGGTTACATTTATTATTTTAATGTATTGTTCTGGTGGGACACCCTTGATGTTACTTTGAAAGAAATCACAAACATCGCTGCAGACCAATCCAGGAGATAACACTGAGCTCTTACATCCATCATGTTCTTCCAGCTGCTGGTTTTGCCACTTAGCAGCGGCTCTGGGTGAGCCAAGCCGGCGTTGTTGATGCACACGTCCACACCTTTGTGCTGCTCTTTGATCGCTGCAAACATGGACAGAATCTCCTCCTCTTTGGTCAAGTCACACTTGAAAGGAACCAAAACACCAGGGTGGCCGGCGCTCTGACACTCTGCTGCCAGTTTCTGAAAACAAAAAGCAAAAGATGATACCTTCATAGTCACCATCGCATTCAGATTCTTGTGGTAAAAATACTCTGGTAAAAGTTGAATTATCGATTAAACTCCTTTACTAAGATAAAAGAGAAAAATTCCAGGCTCTGAAATGAATTCAAAGCATAAAAGTAAGAAGATAGGGACATTTCAATTATTTTGCAAAGGAAACATAACCTTGTACAACTTCAACATAATAGCAGAATTAGACATGGGAATGAAAATAATGAATATATGAGTATAGTCAGGGGCTAAAATGGGATTTGCAGATGTGAGAACCGTAGGATCACTGTAGTGGTTATAAGAGTGTGAGGAAATTAATCAAGAGTCACAATAGGCTCTATTGAGAGATCCAGCAGATTTTTTTCTCTACAGGCTGTGATCAGCTGACCTGTGCTGTGGCTGTTGACCCGAGGTTTACTGCTCTTTGTGGATTTACACAACTCATCAGTATGTAAGTAAGTAAAGTTTATTTATTAAGCGCTTTTCATAGACAGGTAGTCACAAAGCGCTGCACACAGATACGATAAATAGCAAAATGCACAGTATACACAATATAGAGTTTAAATGTAAATTAAAAATATAAAAATGTAAAAAGCATTGGTCAACAGAAAGCTTGTTTAAACAGTAAAGTTTTTAACTGGTTTTTTTTTATGTATGTAAGATATCATGTCTGACTTCTGTCTCCTATACTGCCAACATACTGTTTATAATTTTGTTCATTATGCTGCATAGTACACTACTTGTATCTGGTATTGTGCAGCTCATTTTAACCCATGCATATTGACCAATATGTACAGCATAAATGATTTATTGTAAAACAAAAAGTCTGTCGCTTGACAGCCATTATATGATGTCCACTTGACAGAGCTACATAACTGCATATTTGCATAACATTAAAAAGTCCTTTGCATTAGAGTTTTACATTAAGTGTTTCTCTTCTGAAATCAAGTTTGTTATTTCAGAGCAAACCTGTAATTTCCCCACGTCCCTGTCGCAGCCCACCACTTTCATACCGAGCCGGACCAGCTCCACGGCTACAGCCGCCCCGATCCCAACCGAGGCTCCGGTCACCAGAGCCACTCTGCCCGCCAGCGCTCCATCACGGACAATTGTAACCAGCTCACGCACCAAAAGTATGAAGAGAGGGACGTGCCAAGATAGATATCCCCGACAGAATTAGTTTCCTCTGCGTCGTGAGCGCTCACCAGGTAGGGAGAACGGATCCAGTTGACTCCACCTCCATTCCAACCAAATTACTTGAAAATAGTAAGTAGTTACTATTACTTCTCCAAGAAGGTTATCCAGTTACTTTACTGATTACGTATTTTTAAAAGTAATTATTTCATTTTAAAAACATGATACACAACCTGAATACGTTATAAAGCAATAGACCTTTCAGCCCAATTAGATTTTTTTCTGCATAATCCATCTAAAATTGGATCACTTGAAAAATCCTCTTTTAAAAATTGGTTTTATTATTTTTAATCTTTTAACTTTATGCACATTGCATCAAGCAAAAAGTGACATAATATGGAACAACCTATGACTTGAAGAATTTGTGTAACATTTAAACCTATTTTGTGCACATTCAGGCATGTAAAAGAAGCAATTTTTTTGGTGTTTATATTGTTTGTCTGTGATTTGGACAACCAAGCCTGTGCTCTCAACGCAGGGGAAACAAATTCTGCCGGGGACAACTACCTTGACATGACTGCCACAATAAAAACTGAAGTGAGTGAGCTAATTAATTTGTAACATTCTGTATAATATTAAGTATTTGTGACCATTCGGCCTCTGTCAAGGATTTCCTCGCTAAGATTAGAGACAATATGGGAAGAATCAATAATTCCTCAGTCATGCTCTATACAGCAGCAAAGAGACATTTAACTTTCAGGGGGAAATGCTTTTTAGGATCAGTCCTTCCATTTTGGACAAATGAAAACTTGTGGAGGTCATCAACATTTCATAGCTCAACAACCAAGAAGGAAAGAAGGCGTGATTTGGTAATACTTTATACCAGAATTGTGACTCGCAAATTAAGAACTTCTGAGGAAGTTGAATTTTTAATCATGAAAGGTTTTGTTTTGTTTTTTTGAGGTTTTTTTGTAAAATAAAAACTACACCAAACATTGTTATTATATTGGATACAGAAACCCTGTTTTAACAATTAAAACTTTAAACGGCCATTTTGTGCACCAACTGATAGAAATGAACTTTTACACAGAGTCAGGTTTACAGAGTTATAATGGATGATGAATTGCAACTCACCGGTTTTATAGTAACATATAAACATAAACTGGCTGCCATCCCAGTTTCTTGGTCTCATCTCAGCATGACACAGCAGAAAAAACTTCATTATTATTAATTTTATTATTATTATTGTTATTATTATTTGTGGCAGTATATTAGTAGCAGCAGTTGGAGTATTTTAAATAGGATTTCTCTTTAAAGAACACGTGTGGATAAAAGAAATATCAAGTTTGTTTGTAGACCAACACACATGCTTTCTCTTCTCTGATTGCCTCTGAAAGAAATAGATGTTGTTAGTGTCATCACAATATGTGCTCAGTGCCTCTCTGCATGTTCAGATTTCAGATTTTATCTTGTTTCATGCTTTTTACTGTGGCTTATTGAACTTTCCCTTTAATTGCATTTTAAACACAAGCAGTTTACTCATAATAAGATAACACTGGTATAAACATGGACATACTGATGTATGGAATTTAAACCATGGCTGGTTGTTAATGAAGAGCACAAAATGTCCCAAGAAAACACACCAATGAAGGTCATCACTATTGTGCATTTCACAGCTCTGCTTTTACAGTGGGATGCAAAGGTTTGGGCAACCTTGTTAATAGTCATTATTTTCCTGTATAAATCGTTGGTTGTTACAGTAAAAAAATGTCAGTTAAATATATCATATAGGAGACACACACAGCGATATTGGAGAAGTGAAATGAAGTTTATTGGATTTACAGAAAGTGTGCAATAATTGTTTAAACAAAATCAGGCAGGTGCATAAATTTGGGCACTGCTGTCATTTTCTTGATTCCAAAACCTTTAGAACTAATTATTGGAACTCAAATTGGCTTGGTAAGCTCAGTGACCCCTGACCTACATACACAGGTGAATCCAATAATGAGAAAGAGCATTTAAGGGGGTCAATTGTAAGTTTCCCTCCTCTTTTAATTTTCTCTGAAGAGTAGCAACATGGGGGTCTCAAAACAACTCTCAAATGACCTGAAGACAAAGATTGTTCACCATCATGGTTTAGGGGAAAGATACAGAAAGCTGTCTCACAGATTTAAGCTGTCTGTTTCCACAGTTAGGAACAAACAGAGCCGCTTGGGGTATGCTAAAGCACATTTGGACAAGTCAGCTTCATTGTGGAATAAGGTGCTGTGGACTGATGAAACAAAAATTGAGTTATTTGGGCATAACAAGGGGTGTTATGCATGGAGGAAAAAGAACACGGCATTCCAAGAAAAACACCTGCTACCTACAGTAAAATATGGTGGTGGTTCCATCATGCTGTGGGGCTGTGTAGCCAGTGCAGGGACTGGGAATCTTGTCAAAGTTGAGGGACACATGGATTCCACTCAGTATCAGCAGATTCTGGAGACCAATGTCCAGGTATCAGTGACAAAGCTGAAGCTGCGGTGGGTCTGGATCTTTCAACAAGACAACGACCCGAAACACTGCTCAAAATCCACTAAGGCATTCATGCAGAGGAACAAGTACAATGTTCTGGAATGGCCATCTCAGTCCCCAGACCTAAATATTATTGAAAATCTGTGGTGTGAGTTAAAGAGAGCTGTCCTTGCTCAGAAGCCATCAAACCTGAATGAACTAGAGATGTTTTGTAAAGAGGAATGGTCCAAAATACCTTCAACTACAATCCAGACTCTCACTGGAACCTACAGGAAGCGTTTAGAGGCTGTAACTTCTGCAAAAGGCGGATCTACTAAATATTGATTTCATTTCTTTTTTTTTTTTGTGGTGCCCAAATTTATGCACCTGCCTGATTTTGTTTAAACAATTATTGCACACTTTCTGTAAATCCAGTAAACTTCATTTCACTTCTCAAATGTCACTGTGTGTGTCTCCTATATGATATATTTAACTGACATTTTTTATTGTAACAACCAACGATTTATACAGGAAAATAATGACTATTAACAAGGTTGCCCAAACTTTTGCATCCTACTGTTCTTCCTTTGCAATATTAATCACTAGAGGTCATAGTCAGGGCTGGACTGGGACAAAAAAAATGTATGGTTTCTATACATTTTACGTCAGATAAAAACTTTGGTCGTAAGATTCAGAAAGTGTACTTTATTGATCCCCGTGTGGAAATTCCTCTCTGCCTTTAACCCATTCACTCAGTGAAGCAGTGGGCAGCCATTGGGCACCCAGGGAGCAGTGTGTAGGGATGGTATCTTGCTCAGCTGTTCAGGGGAATCGAACCCCCGACCTTCCGATCATGGGGCCACCACTCTACCTACTGAGCTATCCCTGCCCCAGATTCAGATAACTATTTAATAAGAGCTAGATGTTTTAAATGAGAATAAGAAAGAAAAGTATTTCTTTGTGCCCCCCTTTCCCTGTTAATGCCCTACCTGGCCCCCTGGCAAAACTTTGCTAGAGCCACCCCTGCACAGTTACCAGCTGTAAGCTACTTAGAAAAGGATCCTGGTGTTATGTGTCTCTCAGAAACAGTTCAGCTCTGATTCAGTAAGGACATCTCCTGGTTTCATCTTCATGTTTCCCTCTCACCAGGATATCCAAACCGACATCATGACCAGCAGCTTTTACAGCTGTGGCGCCAGCAAACATTAGCTGATACTAGAAAGTAATATTAAATAAATTCTAACAACAGCTGATCTTAAACTTGCTGCTGTTGTTTAGCACGACATCCGCCGGTTTCCGCTTTCTGGCGCAAAGTGGGAGATAAACAAGCAAGAGAGAAAAGCCGATCAACTGATCATTGGTCAGTTTCATGATTGAAGTAGCAACAACAGAGAGAGGGGGAGAGAATGAGAGGAGAAGAGGCAACTGTGCAGCTTAACGACAGAATAACTCCAGCTTTGTGTCTTTTTCTATTGTAGCTGAAGTCTGGGACAAACTGTTCCTTTTCAGCTCAACACAAAATTTTCTCTGAATGCGGGACGATTTAATTTTTACAGGACGGTTGGCAACTCTACTAACTAACCTTATGAATAAAATAAAGTTCACTATCAGTAAATGGTAAATGGTAAATGGCCTGCATTTGTATAGCGCTTTTCTAGTCCCTAAGGACCCCAAAGCGCTTCACACTACATTCAGTCATTCACCCATTCACACACTGGCGATGGCAAGCTACATCAGTAACATCATAGCACCCACCCAGCTGTATAGAAACTCTGTCATGCTAGCTAGTACGCAGTACGAGTTATTGTCACTGACTGTAAAAAGTCAGCAGAACGAAAATAAACTCCACCTAAACTTGGTTTATATCTGACCCAGACTGACTGCAGGTCATAACTTCTTACTCTAAGTTCAGTTCACCTGACACTTGTCTCTCCTTCTCCTGCCTCCCCTTCCCTCATCCACATGCTGGCCTCTGTGGAAGCTCCGCCATAGCCGCCACCAAACAACTGAGTTATTTTTACACATCGACCAGCATCTGGCCAATGCACCACCTTTCATTGTTTCTACCGTTACAAAAAAATAAAAAGAAAAGAAAAGAAAAAAATCACCGGCCCATAAAAATGAAAAATCACCATCGGCCTGATGCCAAATGCCCGGTATGCCTGATGGCCAGTCCAGCTATGGTCATAGTACAGTCCTGGCCAATGTTCCCTCTAAGCTGCGTGCGTGCGCAATTGTGCACTGCTGGCACGGTCTCTGCGCACAGAAAATCTGCGTTGTGCACCAAAAAAAAAATCTGAACTTAAAACAAATACTTTAACAATTCTGTTTTGCAGTGTTAGTCAGAAAGTGACTGGCTGATCCCGTATGGGATTAGAACGATGCCACCTTATCCCATAGTCCAGCCAATGATGCGATTCACATTCATATATATACGCAGCTAATGAACGTCATTGACAGGCTATGACAGCGTCCTTATGTGACGACACCGGTGTTTTTAGCTAGCAAAGCAGCGTGGCTGATGTGGAGTGAAGCCACGTTAATGACAACCTGTACAACCATTGGAGATGTGAGCAGGACAGACGGAACAACTGACAGAAAAAGTGTGAACTTTATACCAGTTTTTAAATTGTGTTGATAGGCCAAGTAAAACTGGAGTTATGATAAAAAAATATATGCAATGTTTGGTTTTCTTCCTGAATTGACTATGTGCACGAGACAATGCTAACTTCCTGGTTTGAGACCGGATGTGGGGTAGTGCATTTCCGGTAGCTTTACTTTGCGGTCAATCGCTACTGCAAAGATATACTCCAAAATCATGTCCAAAACTCGAAAACGGAAAGTTACAAAGAGGAGAAGGTGGGAACACTCACCGCTGTTGTGTCATAAAAAATCTAATGATCAATTTTGACGTTTAAAGCCTTTAGATCGATCAGTTGTTTACATCACTCAACACAAGCAGAACTGCATTACTGCAGCAGAAGACACATCGTCCACATTCAGAAGCACATCTCTGTATAGTCACTGGTCTTATGATTTAAACAGGCAAATGTTCAGCATTCAAACTACAGCTGAAGAATAGTCAAACCAGATGTTTCCCCCGTTATGTCGATATCAGCTAGTCAAGTACACGCCTACACGGCATGTTAACAAACCGTGAAAAAAGCCACACAAAAAATGAATGATTGCTGGTAACGGTTTCTATACATTAGTATTTATGAAGGGTATGTTGTGACTTACCTTCAAAATTACAGCGGTCCCTCGCTGTAACGCGGTTCACCTTTCACCTCGCTGTTTCACGGATTTTTTTAGTGCAAGTTTGCATGCTTTTTTTTTTTACATCACATTTTGTCCTGTGTCCTGATCGCTGCAGACGATCTCCTCCGTGACGTCTCTCCTGTACAGTACAGAATCGCTGCATTGATCGCTAGCAGTGTGACTCTGAGGTGCAGTACTGTATGTCCACCATGTCCACCAAACGTTTTGCACTGTCAAAAAATAAAATTGGCTACTTGATTTCACCTATTGCTGGTTATTTTTAGAACATAACACCCACGATAAACGAGGGACAGCTGAGAAATATAACATTTGAATCCCTTTTCTCTTTTGCTCTGAGGCGCAGGGGAAAAATATCGACAAGTCGATGAACATCATTTACAGATATATTGGGTAAATGCCCAAGACATCTATAGAAATGTAAATCGCCACTTGATTCATTTGCTTAACTTGTTTTGGACCGTAAACCAGGCGCGAATAGGACACCGGAAGCAAAGCTCCCCACAGGAGTTTCCGCACCGGAAGTAGCATATGCTAACGTGCACATAGTCAATACTATCGTTGTTTATATTTACTGCGGGAAGAAACAGTAAAAACTGTGTTTTATAAAGAAAACCTCAAAAGCACTCTCCGCCTGTGAGCAAAAACAACACCAAAAAAAAAACCCTATTGCTATTGGTCGAAAAATGTACCATGTCGACCAATCAAAAAATGATAAAGCAACATGGCATTTAGTTGTTTAGGAAGGGGGAAGTTTTAGGAGTGACGGCGGTGTTTTGAGACGTGAGAGATTTGCGACGTTTAGCGCAAATCTTGTGTAGTTAGTGTGTAGTGTAGTCAATAGTTTTGTTTTGTGTGTCAGAACAATGAGGCGACTGCTGAATGTTACAGGTGTTACAGGAGTGATACATCTCCTGTTGTCAGGCCTGCAGGTATCAGGCTGTTGTTCTCTTTTATCTCATAGTGGACAGAAATTATTTTTTGGAGTGACACAAATAATTTGTGTGGCATCAGATTTGATGCAGAACAGCTGATTGTTCTGTAAATAGTTTGAAATGTTTATTTAAAAAAATAAATTGTCCAACATTTAATTGTTAATTGTCCAACATTGGTCATTATATACTGTATTTTGCAGACAGAGTTACAGGACTCTCTCCCAGAACACAGACCCATACTCATAATTCAAGTCAGAGCTTTATAAAAAAAAAAAAAAGTTTTGTTTTCAAAATTGGAATTCAAGTTATTTTTACTTCCAAAAGTGTTAACATACTACACAGGTCATGAACAAGATTTTTTTTTTTTTAATTTTCATTGTAAGTGGGCTAAAGCAGTTAATTAATAGTAGTCTAACATAAATGTAAATGCTGTAATTTGATTATTTTAATAAACCTTGGATGGATTCGATGCTGGCATAACCACAGTGCACACGTCTAATGTTGCTCACAGTGGTCCAAGGGACCGCTCAGGGAGTTTGTGTGGTCGCTCAGACACATGAAAAATTAGAGGGAACATTGGTCATGGCCAGAATCTATTGCTCTTTGGTCAAGTCACACTTGAAAGGGACCAAAACACCAAGGTGGCCAGAACTTTGACACTGCTGCCAGTTTTTTAAGTCAAACTTATGTTTTCTTGGTAGTCAAAGTTTTATATTGACATGATAGCTCCTTTAAAAGCTTACTCTCTCAGATACCTGCGTTTGTTTATTTACACCAAATGTATTGTTTATTAGAGCCAAAAATGAACACTAGCAAACAGTTCTCTATTGCATCCTTGACAATGGAGCATTGTGCTTGCGGAGCAGTGTCAAAGTGTCAAGACAGTCAGCAATTTGGTGAGTGCTTGTAGACATATTTGCATCATCCACACAAACTCCCGGAGAGTGTAGAAATCTGCTACCATACAAAGGAACCCCACAGAGGTTTTAGTACAGCACCATATACCTCCTTGCCACGAATTTTACCTAGTGACTGCCAACAACTTCCAGCAACCATTCACCAACTGGTTGGAGAACATACATTGGTAAGTGACCTTTGTTCATCAGTCTTTAGGCCCTTATGACTTGTACGGTTGCTCCATGACACCCCCCCCCCCCCCCCCCCCCCCCCAAACCAGCTAAGGTTCTAACCTGCTGAAATGAACATCTGCTTAACAGTAAAAACACTCTTAGAGCTTAAATACTATCCAGCAACTGAGATCTGTTACAATAAGAAGGAAGCTGTCATTAATTAAAGTGTTTTCATGGGCATTCCTTGCTGGCCAGTAGGACGCTTGTAAAAAGGTACCACAGGGACCTTTGATAAGAAGACAATTAGACAGAAAACAGCTGGATGAGTTTCCTTTATTTTATCCTTCTGTGAATTGATTACAATCTGACAGTGTTGAGAAGTAAGGAGAGCCGGTCACACTACTTTGATGTAAAGATTGGGATGGGTCTCAAGGCCAAGTTGCATGACACCTGCTACAGACTTTCAAGCAAAATCTCCCCAATCTGAAAGAAAAGATAGATGAATGTTATCTTATGACTAAACTGCTGATATTTAAAATGGAAAATAGAAAAGTTCAAAAGGTCACAAAAAAGAGGAAAATGAGAGAAAATCTCAAACCTGAACATGAGGAGGGGCACTGAGCACATATGTGACGGCATGGACGAGGTCTTTTGCTTCCAGAGACTATCAAAGAAGTGAAAAGTGCTTAATGAAATTTTAATAGTAATCATATCAACAATACTGTAGCGATTGTAGGAAATGAAGGAATAATGATTTTACCTTATAATCAGTGTATACTGCAGCTGCTTTATCAGAATTGTCTCTGTAGAGGCGTGACACAAATTCTGTCTCCACAAAGCCAGGAGAAATGCTCTGCAAAATGACATTATTAATGAGGATTCTTCAAGAAGTACTCTGTGTGCATCTCATAACAGCTGACATTAGTGTTAAAGGTACTTTGGAGCTGGTTACAGTGTCTTTCAAAAGCTTACTGTGGCCCGGATATGAGTGTTTTCTGCACGCAGCTCCTTCCTCAGGCCCTCAGTCAGCGCAGTTACAGCATACTTGGTGGCGGTGTAGAAATGTCCGTCAGCATTAGGAAACACTTGATGGCCGCACACACTGCAACAGAGGATATTTACAAGTGTTATAACAACAATGGCAACAGTTTCTATATCGTTTAACATCCACCTGTTTTCTTTTGCTTATCTAATTCAGGGTCCAGGAGCCTCGGGTACAGCACAGACAGGTCCCAAGTCTGTCACAGGACACAGAGACACAGACACAGTTCAACTAAACTAACCCAACTTACTGCATGTCTTTGGACTATGTGGGAAGGTGAGAACTCCTGCAGACACAGGGAGAAGATGCAAACTACACAGAGAAAGACACTGGCCAGATGCTGGATTTGTGAGATAAGTTGTGAGATAACAGTGTTAACCACTGCATCACTATGCTGTTGTGCTGTAATTTAAAGGTTTCTATATAATGTATAACCAGGAAGGTACTTGTGTTTTGAGATTTAAAAAAAAGCAAAACATTTCTCGGTTCTGGCAATTAGATTTGGTTTCATTTTTCTTGATGATTTTCATAGTAAACTCAAAAATCTTTTAGTTCTGAACTGCTAGCTGGCCAATGAAAGCAATATGAAGATGTCCCTTTTGGTTCTAATATATTGTTATTGACACAGCAGTCTGGTATTTATTTTTATTGGACCTACCAGTAATAAAAACACTCATTGGCTATAGTAGGGTTCTTAAAGGGGGAGATACAATGTGTGCTGTGAGAAAAGTCCATTGTGCAGAGTTGCCAAAAGAATGACTGAATTATAAGATGTTTGTGTAAACTGCACAAGCATACCCATCACTGTCCATCAGTAAAATAAAACTGCACCTGTTTATGTTTATGATGTGCCCATCGTCCACATTTCTCTCTTTCATTGACTGATAAGCTTCACGTGCACAGATACACAGTGCAAGAACGTTCACCTGTAAGAAACCAGCAGTGAAATAAACGGTAAAACAAATATATGTAATCAATGCATCAAAATGATACTTTTCCTTGTTGCTATTTGCACTCAAGATGAACAAATTCTTTTAATTCAATTCAATTTTATTTATACAGAACGAAATCGCAACAACAGTCGCCTTAAGGTGCTTTATATTTTAAGGTAGACCCTAATACATACAGAGAAAAAACCCCAACAATACAATGACCCCCTATGATCAAGCAAAGTGGTGACAGTGGGAAGGAAAAACTCCCTTCTAACAGGAAGAAACCTCCACCAGATCCAGGCTCAGGGACCGCGACCAGGTGGGGTGAGAGAAGGAAAACAGGATAAAAGACATGCTGTGGAAGAGAGCAGCTTACACCTGTTGCAGGATAGCTAAGGGAGGATTCAGAGTCACCTGATCCAGCCCTAACTATATGCTTTAGCAAAAAGGAGTTTTAAGCCTAATCTTAAAAGTAGAGATAGTGTCTGTCTCCCATATTCCACAGAAGAAAGGCCTGAAAACTGAAGGCTCCCATTCACCTTTTAAATACTCTAGGAACCACAAGTAAGCCTGTGGTCTGAGAGCGAAGTGCTCTAATGCAAGGATACAATACTATGACATCATTAAGATAAGATGGGGCCTGATTATTTAAGACCTTGTATGTGAGGAGCAGGATTTTTTAATTCAATTCTGGATTTAACAGGGAGCCAATGAAGGGAAGCCAGTATAGGAGAAATATGCTCTCTCTTTTAGTCCCTGTCAGTACTCTTGCTGCAGCAGTTTAGATTAACTGAAGGCTTTTCAGGAAGTTTTTAGGACTTCCTGATAATAATGAATTACACTAATCCAGCCTAAAAGTAATAAATGCATCAACTAGTTTTTCAGCATCACTCTGAGACAGGATATTTCTAATTTTAGAGATACTGTGCAAATGGAAAAAAAGCAGTCCTACATATTTGTTTAAAATGTACATTAAGGGCCCTCAGAGGTCCTTAGGGACATTTATTGTCTTTTGCATTTTTAATTTTAAACCATTTTCACTGTGTTGAGTGGAATATAGCCAAATTTGTCAAAGAATTTTCTTTTTAATTATATTTTATAATTGTGGTGTAAATTCATTGAATTAGCCTAAAATGGCTAAGCTACAGAAATGCATCCACCTTAGTCCCTTTGGACAAAAATGTCCACATTGAAACCCATTATAAACGCTATTTTTCACGCCAAAAAAATTACGGTCAAAGGGATCGTCAGGTTTCCAGCATAGGTTTCGTTTTGGACTACAGGCCTTAGAGTTGTAATTTTTTTATTTGTCCACCGGGTGGCGCCCTTGCTTCACATTTGACCTCTGCTGGAAAACAGCGGGCTGCTTGGACAGACCTGCCGGAAATGAAGCCTCATCTCCGGCGTGCAGCAGCGGCTTCGCCCGCTGATCGGGCGGGACCATTTTTTGGTCCCTAGGACCATGAGAGGGTGCATTTTTTTTTTAGTCAACAGGAAATGACGTATTTGTTGTCACGTGGTATCGGGCGTGTGTGCTGGAAAAAGGGGTCCCCGGTGATCGTGCCCCGGTAATCGTCGCGACTTACCCCGGCAAGATGCACTTATTTCGGCCTAGAGGAGGAGCATTTGCCGCCTGGAGACCATTTTCTGGTCCTGAAAAAAAAAATAAAAGGCGATCGAAATGAATGTTGGTGCCAATCTTTAGTCCATCTAAAGGCCTAATTATAATAACAATTGAATATTACCTCAAATGTTTTTTTTGGAAAATATTCAAGTTTTATGTTTTTTGGGGCAAAAAAAGCAGTGCGCTCATGTGACGAAACCGGGATATAAAGGGTTAAAATCCGCGAAATGTAATTAAAACTTGACATGAATATTTCAAGGAGAAGTAGTTTTAAAAGACTGACCAATTTAAAGTGAAAAAAAATTAATATTTAATATTTTTATTGCACATTTTGGGGAATGGACATAGGCTTAAAGGTGGATGCATTTTTTTTTTTAATGTGCTCCTGCAAAAAAAATAATGGCAGGTCAAAATGAATTTTGGTGCCAATCTTTGGACCATCTAAAGGCCTAATTATAATAACAATCAAATATTACTTCAAATGTTTTTTTTGGAAAATATTTAGTTTTTTTGTTTTTTGGGCTAAAAAAAACAGGGCGCTCGTGTAATACAACTGGGATTTAAAGGGTTAAAACAACGAAAATATAATTAAAACTTTATATGAATATTTCAGGGAGAAGTAGTTTTAAAAGACTGACCAATTTAAAGTGGAAAAAAATATTAATACATAAGATTTTTATTGCACTTTTTGGGGAATGGACATTTATGTCCATTAGGGACCAAGGTGGATGTCTTTTTTAGGGATCTCCAAGTTAAGGGAAATATCCTAGTTAAAAATGACTCCACGGTTCCTCACAGTGTTACTGGAGGCCAAAGCAATGCCATCCAGAGTAAGTATCTGGTTAGATACCACATTTCTAGGAATTTTAGGGCCGAGTACAATAACCTCAGTTTTTTGTGAATTTAGAAACAGAAAATTGGAGGTCATCCAGGTCTGTATGCCTTTAAGACATTTTTCTAACACACATCAAACTAATTGGTGTGTTATCTGGCTTCATGCATAGATAAAGTTGGGTGTCATCTGCATAGCAGTGAAAATTCATCCTATGCCTTCTGATGATACTGCCTAAGGGAAGCATGTAAACTGTTCCTGGCACAGAAACTACAGAACAATTGGATGCTATTTGATCGATATGATACATGCCACTTCAGTGCAGTACCTGTAATACCTACAGCATGTTCTAATCGCTCTAATAGAATATTATGGTCAACATTATCGAACGCTGAGGTCTAGCAGGATAAGCTAGACTGACTACTGTCAGGGGCCAAGAAGATCATTTGTAAAATTCACTAAAAGTGAGTTAGCAAATGGCTGCAATCACAGCATTGTAAAATTGGTTCAGCGATGGTCTTTGTTCAGCGGTTGTTGATCTTTGGTCATGCCAGTTTGGATAGTAATAATCCAGGAGCTGACCTCACAGCCCATTTTTTTCATTCAGTGGGCTGGTTTCAGTCATTGTGCAAAGGTACTGTTTATGAGGTTGGGTCATCTGAAACTGAAGATGTCACTTGGATGAGTGACGAAACGTTTCTCCCACTGAGATGCTACGTCCAGATGATCAGAATCAATTTTTTGGGACTTATCTAAAGGCGTTTCTGTATTTTGCTGAGCTCTGAAACCTGATTGAAACTCTTCAAATAAGCCATTTGTCTGCATATGATCTATTAGCTGTTTGACAATTTTTGAAATGAAAGGTTAGAAATTGGCCTATAAACATCTAAAACCACAGGGTCAAGAGATGGCTTTTTAAGTAACGGCTTTTTAAGTTTAACTACTGCCAGCTTGAAGGCCTGAAGTACATAGGCAACAGTCTTTCAGCAGTCTTGTAAGAATGGGGTCTATAAGACATGTTGATGGTTTGGAGGAAGTAATTACTTATGTTAACTCAGAAAGGTCAATTGGAAAAAAAGACTAAATAAATACAAATGGTACTCAAAGTATGTGTAGATAATGTTAGATCTGTGAGATCATTATGAGTAATTTTTTCTCTAATTGTTAAAATTTGATTTGTGAATAAATTCATTAAGTCATTCCTAGTTGACGTTAAAGGAATACTTTGCTCAACGGTGCTTTTCGTCAATTTTTTCACCTTTTGAGGGAAGCCAATTGAATCTAATAAAATATTAAATACCACGTTGATTGAGACTGTCATTTGTAACATCTACATGGATATCACCCATAATAATTATTTTATTTGAACAGAGCACTAAATCAGTTAAAAACTCAGAAAAATCAGACAGAAACTCTGTGTAAGGCCCAGGTGGACAATAGAAGATAACAAATACGACTGTTTTTTTGAGTTTTACAGCTGAGGTGGACAAGGCTAAGCATCAGGCTTTCAAATGAGTTAAAAGTATGTCTTGGTCTTTGGTTAATTAATAAGCTGGTGTGGAAAATTGCAGGCATACCTTCCCCCAGCCTGTGCCTCGAGGATTTTGATGGTAAATGAGACTCAGGAGTGTTGATTCATTTAAACTAACATAATCATCCTGCTGTAACCAGGTTTCTGTAAGGCAGAGTAAATCGATTTGTTGATCAATTATTAGTTCATGTACTAACAGAGACTCGGAAGAGAGAGACCTAATGTTTATGTTTTACTCTTCGGTGCTCATGAGGATACTGTATTGTTCTTTCTTTGTGACTTTTTTAACATTTAAGTCGATTTTTGTTGATTTTTAATATTTTACTGAATTTGCATTTACCCTTAGCCAACATGTCTTAAAACAGAATCGCCAATTCCTAGAGTCTGATCTCCTGCGAGTGTGTCATTGAGTATGGAAAAGTAGTTAGCCACATGAACAGGTTGGTAGTGTACCGGGGGCTATGATACCTCCTCCCCGTCATCCAGCCATCCTGTTTCCCCAGCTACTCGACAGTCTGCCGGGGGACACCTAATGGGGCCTGCGCTACCTTCTACCTTCGGCTGCACTGACTACAGGAGGCTGGCTAGCTAGAGAGTTTTCAAGGATGCAAAACCGAGTCTCGAATTCAATATCATTAAAATAAAAAATGTAAAAACTAAGCTAAGCTAGTGAATCCCTAAAGACACAGTGAGTGAATACAGAGACATAATTTAGCGAGTAAATACAGTTTTTATTACAACACATATGCTACACAAAAACATCACTGTGTGTTGCAACAGGAGGTGATACTCTACGCAGAGAGAGCGAACACCAAGTGAAAGCCTTTAGCCAGTTTTGCATAATATTTTATCTTTCTCATCTATTGTGATTGTGTATTTATTTTAACCAGATGGGGATTTTCATAGTTTGACATTTTAACACACTATTTATCCAACTTTTTGTATAAATAAAAGACATCTATCTCATTCTAAAAAATGATGATAACTCAATTTATCATTTCATTAGAATACAGTATTCTGCTGGGAAACCACTCCTGTGAATGCTTTCATATGTAGCACACAACAACATATAACATATGTTATCAATATTATATTGCATACCAACCAGGAATATTTTCTTTCTAAAATAACTCTGAGTTCTTACATCCCACATGTTTTTCCAGCCACTGGTTTTGCCATTTAGCAGCGCCTCTGGATGAGCCAAGCCAGCGTTATTGATGCACACGTCCACGCCTTTGTGCTGCTCTTTGATCGTGGCGAACATGGACAGAATCTCCTCCTCTTTGGTCAAGTCACACTTGAAAGGCACCAAAACACCAGGGTGACCGGCGCTCTGACACTCTGCTGCCAGTTTCTGAAAACAAAAAGGAAAAGACGATACCTTGATAATCACCTTTGCATTCAGATTCTTGTGGTAAAAATACTCTGGTAAAAGTTGAATTATGGATTAAACTTCTTTACTAAGATAAAAGATACATTTTCCAGACTCTGAAATGAATTCAAAGCAAAAAAGTAAGAAGATAAGGAGTTTTCAATTATTTTACAAAGGAAACCCAACCTCATACAACTTCAACATAATAGCAAAATTAGTCATGGAAATGAAAACTTAATTTAAACATAAACTCTAATGAACACCTGAACGATAGTGAGAACACAAGCATAGACAAACAAATGAACTTATAGCTCTATTTGCTGCAGCCTACATTGTAGATGGATGAGTCTGCCTCTACATCTAAACAGAATATACATATACTAATTTAATAATATGAATACAATACATCATTATATAATTATTATTAATATACTATATGAGTATAGTCAGGGGCTAAAATGGGATTTGCAGATTTGAGAACCCTAAGATCACTGTAGTGGTTATAGCAGTGTGTGGAAAGGAATCAGGAGTCACAATAGGCTCTATTGAGAGCTCCAGCAGATTTGTCTACAGGCTGTGATCAGCTGACCTGTGCTGTGGCTGTTTACCCGAGGTATACTGCTCTTTGTGGATTTACACAACTCATCAGTATGTAAGTTATCATGTCTGACTTCCGTCTCCTATACTGCCAAGTGCCAACATACTGTTTATACCATTTTTTTATTTTACTGCATAGTACACAGCTTGGATCTGGTATTGTGCAGCTTATTTTAAACCATGCATATAGACCAATATATACAGCATAAATGATTTACTGTAAAACAAACAGTGTAACGGCGGATATGTAAAGCTAGCTCAACAACACGTAATATAACTATTCTGTAAAATAGTCAGATGTCAGATGTCTATTCATATTAATGTACAGAATTCACCTGCTTGCTACTACTACTGCACATTCACCCAATGTATATACTATATGTTCTCCCCCCCATTTTTGCACATGTCGAGGAGCGTGTCAGGCTACATTTCACTGTGTGTTATACAGTGAAATGTAGCCTGACATGGGTTACAAGTATAAGTATAACTTATACTTGTATAACTATGCATGTGACAAATAAAGAACCTTGAACCTTGAACGTTTGTGCTTTTATTTTGGTAACTTCCTGTGTGACCGAAAGTGAATGTTGTAACGGTAACTAGCTTGATGTACAAAAAAGACGCAAGAAAACGGTAAACTACTGCTAACAGAGAAAACTGCCAAAAAGTGATTTGCCTGCCAAAAAGTGATTTCCAATGTTTCCGTGTATTTTTTTATGTGTAATATCTTTACGTATGTTGGTAAATAGACTTCGGTGAACAGCGTTTACAAAGGGGTTATATATAGAATTAAAAGATTATCTGTTTTTTCAAGTATCTTTATAACTCTGTGTTATTGTACTCACATTATAACCAATCCGGTCCTTTTTCCCCACTTACAATATTTTTACAGAACTATTGTAATATTTGCTGCCATTTCTGCTGTCTTACTCTTACAAAAGACATTTTTAATGTTAATGAGATTTTTTTTAACTGCATAAATAAAGGTTCTATAAAAGTCGCTGCCAAAAACTGATTGCGGCTTCTACCTTGTTACACGAATGTTGTTTGTGGCTCAATATGACTTTGTGTCATCCATGAGGGATGCATTTGACATATGTTTCACATATTATATGCCAACAAGTTACTTATAGCAGTTTAAATACGAGCAATCAGTTTTTGGCAGACAATCACTTTTTGGCACAACACCGGCATAACATAACTCTTCCGAAATCGAGTTTGTTATTTCAGAGCAAACCTGTATTTTCCCCACGTCCCTGGCGCAGCCCACCACTTTCATACCGAGCCGGACCAGCTCCACGGCTACAGCCGCCCCGATCCCGACCGAGGCTCCGGTCACCAGAGCCACTCTGCCCCGCCAGCGCTCCATCAAAGACAGCCCTAACCAGCTCACGCACCAAAAGTTTGAAGAGAGGGACGTGCCAAGATAGATATCCCCGACAGAATTAGTTTCCTCTGCGTCGGGAGCGCGCACTAGGTAGGGAGAACGGATCCCGTTGACTTCGCCTCCATTCCAACCAACTAGACGTAGAAACAGTGACGAACTATCAAAAACCTAAAGACGAGTGTACATTACCGTTCAGTTTGTGGGTTACAACTGAAAATGATACGTTTATTGTTCTCATGTGTTATCAGCAGTGTTGGTCAAGTTACTTGAAAATAGTAAGTAGTTACTAATTACTGATTACTTATTTTTAAAAGTAATTAGTTACTTTGTTACTTACCGGTAGTTAGAATTAGGTTAGGGTAGAAACAAATTTCCATAAACGATCCATATAAAATAAAATAAAACTACACTAAGCATTGTTACATTATTATACTGATAAAAATGAACTTTGACACAGAGTCATGTGTACAGAGTTATAATGGATGATGAATTGCAATTCGGTTATAGAGTAACATAAACTGGCTGCTCGCCTAGTTTCTTGGTGTCATCTCAGCATGACACAGCAGAAAAAACCTCATTATCATTAACTTTATTTATTATTATTTGTGGCAGTAGTATTAGTTGCAGCAGTTGGAGTATTTTAAATTGGATTTCTCTTTTAGGAACAGTTGTGGAGAAATGACAGACATGCTTTCTCTTCTCTGATAGCTTCTAGAAAAAACAGATGTTGCCAGTGCCATCATAATATGTGCTCAGCGCCTCTCTGCATTTTCAGAGTCGTGATTTTCTCTTATTTCATGCTTTTTACTGTGACTCATTGAACTTTCCTTTTAATTGCATTTTAAACACAAACACTTTACTCATATTAAGATAACACTGATATAAACATGGCAATACTGATGTATGGAATTTAAACCATGGCTGGTTCTTCGTGAAGAGCAAAAATGTCCCAAGAAAACATACCTCTGAAGATCATCACTATTTTGCATTTCAAAGCTCTGCTTTTACTTCCATTACAATATTAGCCACTACAGGTCATAGTACAGTCGTGGCCAGAATCTACTGCTCTTTGGTCAAGTCACACTTGAAAGGGACCAAAACACCAGGGTGGCCAGCACTTTGACACTCTGCTGCCAGTTTTTGAAACCAAACTTATATGATTTCTTGGTAGGCTAAGTTTTGTATTGACAACTCCTTTAAAAGTGTACTCTCTCAGATACCTGCATTTAATTATTTACAACAAATGTATTATTTATTACAACCACAATTAACACTAGCAAACAGTTCTCTATTGCATCCTTGACAATGGAGCATTGTGCTTGCTGAGCAGTGTCAAATTGTCAAGACACTCAGCGATTTGGTGAGTGTTTTCAGAAATATTTGCATCATCCACACAAACTGTTTGAGAGTGCAGAAATCTGCTACCGTACAAAGGAACCACAACAGAGTTTTTAGTACAGCACCATATACCTCCTTGCCCCGAATTTTACCTAGTGACTGCCAAAAACTTCCAGCAACCATTCACCAACTGGTTGGAGAACATAGATTAATGAACAAAGGCCACTTACCAGTCTCTAGGGCATAGTTAATAAGAACAGTTTATTGTTAATTCTGTTGAGTTCAATTTCAGTTTAGGTCAGTGTGCATCTGAATTGAACAAAAACATTCTCAAGTCTTTCTTCATTCGCATTAGAAAAATTTATTTTGGTAATTTTCTCACAGTCATTTTGACAGTTCTGTTTGATGAAAAATTCAACTTTGACTTGGCTTTTTATCATTTTAGGATCACGTAGGAGTGTGCTCAGTAATGGTTGGTGGTTTTTATTTATTTTTTCTTAGCAGAGGATAAATGGAGAGCAGTGTTGAGCAGTCAGGAGTTTCACACCACTTTGTTGTGGAGGCTGGATTGTGTGCCTGCACTGTGTTACCAGCTACACAGCTTCAAAGTTAATGTCGCCAACCTGAAAGGAAAGTTATAGAAATATTATCTTATTTTGAGTAATCTGGTGATATTTACAATATTAATGAGCTAAATTCAATAAGTGAACATTTAAAAAGTTGAAATAAGAGAAAACCTACAAACCTGAACATGAGGCGGGGCGCTGAGCACGTATGTGACAGCACTGGCAATGTCTTTGGTTCCAAAGGCTGTCAGAGAAGTGAAAAATGCTTAATAACTTTTATCAGAGTAATCATATTAACAATCTATAAACTGTGAGATTAATAATTATACCTTAAATTCACTGTACATAGCAGCTACTTTTTCAGGTTCATTGCTGTGGAGCCGTGATACAAATTCTGTGTCCACTAAACCAGGAGAGAGGCTCTGTAAAAAACAAAAGAAAAACAAAGGTAAAAGAAGTGTGATTGTGTGTCGACTTCGGAAAGTATTGTAAATGTGTCTCATAGCAGCTGAAATTGGTTTTAAGGGCACTTTTTGGGTTTATCAGTGTTCTTTAAAACCTTACTGTGGCTCGGATATGGGTGTTTTCTGCACGCAGCTCCTGCCTCAGGCCCTCAGTCAGCGCGGTTACAGCGAACTTGGTCGCCATGTAGAAATGTAAATCGGGAACGGGATAGACATGATGTCCACCCACACTACAACAGAAGAACATTTCACTAGGTCAGCATTTACCAACATATTTTTTATCTGATTTCAGGATCACATCTGTGTTTTATCCTTGGAGGAGGAGTCCTCTTTACCAAAGAAATGAAACGAGTGAGCGCCACTGGCATCTTAATAAAATGTCACCCTCTTCCTCCTCATCTCAAACTCATCTACTGAACTGAATTCCAGGATTGAATATACAAAAATGTGCACAAATATGCCTATTTATTCCCAATATTGGGAATAAAGGCAAATCTTTTCATTCTCACTATTGAAATCTCCACAGTTTCCATTCACTTTAGGTTAAGAGTCTTGGCATCATCCTAGACAGCTCACTATCCTATAAATCTCACATTAATGATCTCACTTGTTCTGCCTATTTCCATCTACGCAACACGGACCGATTGTATCCTTCTCTTTCCACCCAGTCTGTATCCTTTCTTGATCATAGTATAGTTACATCCCACACTGTCTATTGTAATTCTCTCTTGCATGGTTTCCCCCAAAAATCCCTCCATAAGCTTCAACTGGTTCAAAACTGCGCTGCCCGCATACCAGCACATCATCCATATCCTTCAGGAATGTCACTGGCTCCCTATGAAATTCTGAATGGCATACAAGTTTCATCTGATTACCTTCAAGACCCTTCATAACCTTGTTCCTCCTTACCTTTCTGACCTGTCAAGCACTACCTCTTCTGCCCGCTCACTTCGATCTTCTTCTTCCATCCAGCTTGCCTTCTTTCCCCCTCAGCACCATGGGAAGCAGAGCTTTTAGCTCTCTGCTCCCAGCCTGTGGAACTTTCTACCTCCAGATATAAGAAACATTGGTTCTCTCCCCCAGTTGAAATCTCAACTTAAAACCTCTCTGTTCAAGTCTGCATGTTCGCTGTGAACTTATTGTTTGTATATTTTATCTTGTTCTTTTGATTGTTCTTTGTTTGCCATTAGTGTTACCAACAGAAGCTCATAATCTCAATCTGAATCTGAGCATGATTATATTCAAAGATATTTGAAAGATGTTTAAATCATCAGACTTCACAGGCATGGCCGTCGTTGATCATCAGTAAATAAAACTGCACCTGTTTATGTTTATGATGTGCCCATCGTCAACATGTCTCTCTTTCATTGACTGATATGCTTCATGCGCGCAGATACTCAATCCAAAAACGTTCACCTGCAAGAGACCGAGAAGAAGAAAAAAAACTTTACATTTAATCATTTCTTCTTGTGCACAAGTGTAAATTAACCCACAGTGTTAATTCTTACTCAGGTGCAACATTAAAAGCACTGATAGGTTACATTTATTATTTTAATGTATTGTTCTGGTGGGACACCCTTGATGTTACTTTGAAAGAAATCACAAACATCGCTGCAGACCAATCCAGGAGATAACACTGAGCTCTTACATCCATCATGTTCTTCCAGCCGCTGGTTTTGCCACTTAGCAGCGGCTCTGGGTGAGCCAAGCCGGCGTTGTTGATGCACACGTCCACGCCTTTGTGCTGCTCTTTGATCGCTGCAAACATGGACAGAATCTCCTCCTCTTTGGTCAAGTCACACTTGAAAGGCACCAAAACACCAGGGTGGCCAGCACTTTGACACTCTGCTGCCAGTTTCTGAAAACAAAAAGCAAAAGATGATACCTTCATAGTCACCATCGCATTCAGATTCTTGTGGTAAAAATACTCTGGTAAAAGTTGAATTATCGATTAAACTCCTTTACTAAGATAAAAGAGAAAAATTCCAGGCTCTGAAATGAATTCAAAGCATAAAAGTAAGAAGATAGGGACATTTCAATTATTTTGCAAAGGAAACATAACCTTGTACAACTTCAACATAATAGCAAAATTAGACATGGGAATGAAAATAATGAATATATGAGTATAGTCAGGGGCTAAAATGGGATTTGCAGATGTGAGAACCGTAGGATCACTGTAGTGGTTATAAGAGTGTGAGGAAATTAATCAAGAGTCACAATAGGCTCTATTGAGAGATCCAGCAGATTTTTTTCTCTACAGGCTGTGATCAGCTGACCTGTGCTGTGGCTGTTGACCCGAGGTTTACTGCTCTTTGTGGATTTACACAACTCATCAGTATGTAAGTAAGTAAAGTTTATTTATTAAGCGCTTTTCATAGACAGGTAGTCACAAAGCGCTGCACACAGATACGATAAATAGCAAAATGCACAGTATACACAATATAGAGTTTAAATGTAAATTAAAAATATAAAAATGTAAAAAGCATTGGTCAACAGAAAGCTTGTTTAAACAGTAAAGTTTTTAACTGGTTTTTTTTTTTATGTATGTAAGATATCATGTCTGACTTCTGTCTCCTATACTGCCAACATACTGTTTATAATTTTGTTCATTATGCTGCATAGTACACTACTTGTATCTGGTATTGTGCAGCTCATTTTAACCCATGCATATTGACCAATATGTACAGCATAAATGATTTATTGTAAAACAAAAAGTCTGTCGCTTGACAGCCATTATATGATGTCCACTTGACAGAGCTACATAACTGCATATTTGCATAACATTAAAAAGTCCTTTGCATTAGAGTTTTACATTAAGTGTTTCTCTTCTGAAATCAAGTTTGTTATTTCAGAGCAAACCTGTAATTTCCCCACGTCCCTGTCGCAGCCCACCACTTTCATACCGAGCCGGACCAGCTCCACGGCTACAGCCGCCCCGATCCCAACCGAGACTCCGGTCACCAGAGCCACTCTGCCCCGCCAGCGCTCCATCACGGACAATTGTAACCAGCTCACGCACCAAAAGTATGAAGAGAGGGACGTGCCAAGATAGATATCCCTGACAGAATTAGTTTCCTCTGCGTCGTGAGCGCTCACCAGGTAGGGAGAACGGATCCAGTTGACTCCACCTCCATTCCAACCAAATTACTTGAAATAGTAAGTAGTTACTATTACTTCTCCAAGAAGGTTATCCAGTTACTTTACTGATTACGTATTTTTAAAAGTAATTATTTCATTTTAAAAACATGATACACAACCTGAATACGTTATAAAGCAATAGACCTTTCAGCCCAATTAGATTTTTTTCTGCATAATCCATCTAAAATTGGATCACTTGAAAAATCCTCTTTAAAAATTGGTTTTATTATTTTTAATCTTTTAACTTTATGCACATTGCATCAAGCAAAAAGTGACATAATATGGAACAACCTATGACTTGAAGAAATTTGTGTAACATTTAAACCTATTTTGTGCACATTCAGGCATGTAAAAGAAGCAATTTTTTTGGTGTTTATATTGTTTGTCTGTGATTTGGACAACCAAGCCTGTGCTCTCAACGCAGGGGAAACAAATTCTGCCGGGGACAACTACCTTGACATGACTGCCACAATAAAAACTGAAGTGAGTGAGCTAATTAATTTGTAACATTCTGTATAATATTAAGTATTTGTGACCATTCGGCCTCTGTCAAGGATTTCCTCGCTAAGATTAGAGACAATATGGGAAGAATCAATAATTCCCCAGTCATGCTCTATACAGCAGCAAAGAGACATTTAACTTTCAGGGGGAAATGCTTTTTTAGGATGAGTCCTTCCATTTTGGACAAATGAAAAACTTGTGGAGGTCATCAGCATTTCATAGCTCAACAACCAAGAAGGAAAGAAGGCGTGATTTGGTAATACTTTATACCAGAATTGTGACTCGCAAATTAAGAACTTCTGAGGAAGTTGAATTTTTAATCATGAAAGGTTTTGTTTTGTTTTGTTTTTTGGGTTTTTTTTGTAAAATAAAAAACTACACCAAACATTGTTATTATATTGGATACAGAAACCCTGTTTTAACAATTAAAACTTTAAACGGCCATTTTTGTGCACCAACTGATAGAAATGAACTTTTACACAGAGTCAGGTTTACAGAGTTATAATGGATGATGAATTGCAACTCACCGGTTTTATAGTAACATATAAACATAAACTGGCTGCCATCCCAGTTTCTTGGTCTCATCTCAGCATGACACAGCAGAAAAAACTTCATTATTATTAATTTTATTATTATTATTGTTATTATTATTTGTGGCAGTATATTAGTAGCAGCAGTTGGAGTATTTTAAATAGGATTTCTCTTTAAAGAACACGTGTGGATAAAAGAAATATCAAGTTTGTTTGTAGACCAACACACATGCTTTCTCTTCTCTGATTGCCTCTGAAAGAAATAGATGTTGTTAGTGTCATCACAATATGTGCTCAGTGCCTCTCTGCATGTTCAGATTTCAGATTTTATCTTGTTTCATGCTTTTTACTGTGGCTTATTGAACTTTCCCTTTAATTGCATTTTAAACACAAGCAGTTTACTCATAATAAGATAACACTGGTATAAACATGGACATACTGATGTATGGAATTTAAACCATGGCTGGTTGTTAATGAAGAGCACAAAATGTCCCAAGAAAACACACCAATGAAGGTCATCACTATTGTGCATTTCACAGCTCTGCTTTTACAGTGGGATGCAAAGGTTTGGGCAACCTTGTTAATAGTCATTATTTTCCTGTATAAATCGTTGGTTGTTACAGTAAAAAAATGTCAGTTAAATATATCATATAGGAGACACACACAGCGATATTGGAGAAGTGAAATGAAGTTTATTGGATTTACAGAAAGTGTGCAATAATTGTTTAAACAAAATCAGGCAGGTGCATAAATTTGGGCACTGCTGTCATTTTCTTGATTCCAAAACCTTTAGAACTAATTATTGGAACTCAAATTGGCTTGGTAAGCTCAGTGACCCCTGACCTACATACACAGGTGAATCCAATAATGAGAAAGAGCATTTAAGGGGGTCAATTGTAAGTTTCTCTCCTCTTTTAATTTTCTCTGAAGAGTAGCAACATGGGGGTCTCAAAACAACTCTCAAATGACCTGAAGACAAAGATTGTTCACCATCATGGTTTAGGGGAAAGATACAGAAAGCTGTCTCACAGATTTAAGCTGTCTGTTTCCACAGTTAGGAACAAACAGAGCCGCTTGGGGTATGCTAAAGCACATTTGGACAAGTCAGCTTCATTGTGGAATAAGGTGCTGTGGACTGATGAAACAAAAATTGAGTTATTTGGGCATAACAAGGGGTGTTATGCATGGAGGAAAAAGAACACGGCATTCCAAGAAAAACACCTGCTACCTACAGTAAAATATGGTGGTGGTTCCATCATGCTGTGGGGCTGTGTAGCCAGTGCAGGGACTGGGAATCTTGTCAAAGTTGAGGGACACATGGATTCCACTCAGTATCAGCAGATTCTGGAGACCAATGTCCAGGTATCAGTGACAAAGCTGAAGCTGCGGTGGGTCTGGATCTTTCAACAAGACAACGACCCGAAACACTGCTCAAAATCCACTAAGGCATTCATGCAGAGGAACAAGTACAATGTTCTGGAATGGCCATCTCAGTCCCCAGACCTAAATATTATTGAAAATCTGTGGTGTGAGTTAAAGAGAGCTGTCCTTGCTCAGAAGCCATCAAACCTGAATGAACTAGAGATGTTTTGTAAAGAGGAATGGTCCAAAATACCTTCAACTACAATCCAGACTCTCACTGGAACCTACAGGAAGCGTTTAGAGGCTGTAACTTCTGCAAAAGGCGGATCTACTAAATATTGATTTCATTTCTTTTTTTTTTTTTGTGGTGCCCAAATTTATGCACCTGCCTGATTTTGTTTAAACAATTATTGCACACTTTCTGTAAATCCAGTAAACTTCATTTCACTTCTCAAATGTCACTGTGTGTGTCTCCTATATGATATATTTAACTGACATTTTTTATTGTAACAACCAACGATTTATACAGGAAAATAATGACTATTAACAAGGTTGCCCAAACTTTTGCATCCTACTGTTCTTCCTTTGCAATATTAATCACTAGAGGTCATAGTCAGGGCTGGACTGGGACAAAAAAAATGTATGGTTTCTATACATTTTACGTCAGATAAAAACTTTGGTCGTAAGATTCAGAAAGTGTACTTTATTGATCCCCGTGTGGAAATTCCTCTCTGCCTTTAACCCATTCACTCAGTGAAGCAGTGGGCAGCCATTGGGCACCCAGGGAGCAGTGTGTAGGGATGGTATCTTGCTCAGCTGTTCAGGGGAATCGAACCCCCGACCTTCCGATCATGGGGCCACCACTCTACCTACTGAGCTATCCCTGCCCCAGATTCAGATAACTATTTAATAAGAGCTAGATGTTTTAAATGAGAATAAGAAAGAAAAGTATTTCTTTGTGCCCCCCTTTCCCTGTTAATGCCCTACCTGGCCCCCTGGCAAAACTTTGCTAGAGCCACCCCTGCACAGTTACCAGCTGTAAGCTACTTAGAAAAGGATCCTGGTGTTATGTGTCTCTCAGAAACAGTTCAGCTCTGATTCAGTAAGGACATCTCCTGGTTTCATCTTCATGTTTCCCTCTCACCAGGATATCCAAACCGACATCATGACCAGCAGCTTTTACAGCTGTGGCGCCAGCAAACATTAGCTGATACTAGAAAGTAATATTAAATAAATTCTAACAACAGCTGATCTTAAACTTGCTGCTGTTGTTTAGCACGACATCCGCCGGTTTCCGCTTTCTGGCGCAAAGTGGGAGATAAACAAGCAAGAGAGAAAAGCCGATCAGCTGATCATTGGTCAGTTTCATGATTGAAGTAGCAACAACAGAGAGAGGGGGAGAGAATGAGAGGAGAAGAGGCAACTGTGCAGCTTAACGACAGAATAACTCCAGCTTTGTGTCTTTTTCTATTGTAGCTGAAGTCTGGGACAAACTGTTCCTTTTCAGCTCAACACAAAATTTTCTCTGAATGCGGGACGATTTAATTTTTACAGGACGGTTGGCAACTCTACTAACTAACCTTATGAATAAAATAAAGTTCACTATCAGTAAATGGTAAATGGCCTGCATTTGTATAGCGCTTTTCTAGTCCCTAAGGACCCCAAAGCGCTTCACACTACATTCAGTCATTCACCCATTCACACACTGGCGATGGCAAGCTACATCAGTAACATCATAGCACCCACCCAGCTGTATAGAAACTCTGTCATGCTAGCTAGTACGCAGTACGAGTTATTGTCACTGACTGTAAAAAGTCAGCAGAACGAAAATAAACTCCACCTAAACTTGGTTTATATCTGACCCAGACTGACTGCAGGTCATAACTTCTTACTCTAAGTTCAGTTCACCTGACACTTGTCTCTCCTTCTCCTGCCTCCCCTTCCCTCATCCACATGCTGGCCTCTGTGGAAGCTCCGCCATAGCCGCCACCAAACAACTGAGTTATTTTTACACATCGACCAGCATCTGGCCAATGCACCACCTTTCATTGTTTCTACCGTTACAAAAAAATAAAAAGAAAAGAAAAGAAAAAAATCACCGGCCCATAAAAATGAAAAATCACCATCGGCCTGATGCCAAATGCCCGGTATGCCTGATGGCCAGTCCAGCTATGGTCATAGTACAGTCCTGGCCAATGTTCCCTCTAAGCTGCGTGCGTGCGCAATTGTGCACTGCTGGCACGGTCTCTGCGCACAGAAAATCTGCGTTGTGCACCAAAAAAAAAATCTAACCTGAATTGAACTTAAAACAAATACTTTAACAATTCTGTTTTGCAGTGTTAGTCAGAAAGTGACTGGCTGATCCCGTATGGGATTAGAACGATGCCACCTTATCCCATAGTCCAGCCAATGATGCGATTCACATTCATATATATACGCAGCTAATGAACGTCATTGACAGGCTATGACAGCGTCCTTATGTGACGACACCGGTGTTTTAGCTAGCAAAGCAGCGTGGCTGATGTGGAGTGAAGCCACGTTAATGACAACCTGTACAACCATTGGAGATGTGAGCAGGACAGACGAAACAACTGACAGAAAAAGTGTGAACTTTATACCAGTTTTTAAATTGTGTTGATAGGCCAAGTAAAACTGGAGTTATGATAAAAAAATATATGCAATGTTTGGTTTTCTTCCTGAATTGACTATGTGCACGAGACAATGCTAACTTCCTGGTTTGAGACCGGATGTGGGGTAGTGCATTTCCGGTAGCTTTACTTTGCGGTCAATCGCTACTGCAAAGATATACTCCAAAATCATGTCCAAAACTCGAAAACGGAAAGTTACAAAGAGGAGAAGGTGGGAACACTCACCGCTGTTGTGTCATAAAAAATCTAATGATCAATTTTGACGTTTAAAGCCTTTAGATCGATCAGTTGTTTACATCACTCAACACAAGCAGAACTGCATTACTGCAGCAGAAGACACATCGTCCACATTCAGAAGCACATCTCTGTATAGTCACTGGTCTTATGATTTAAACAGGCAAATGTTCAGCATTCAAACTACAGCTGAAGAATAGTCAAACCA